TCCTGGACGACAGTCCCCACCTGCCCATTACAGGTGCACAGTCTAAGGGGAAACACATATACAAATATCAGTGCAAAGCCACATTGATAAGGTGTTTTATGGAGGGCAAAGTGCAGGAGGCAAAAAAAAAAAAAAAAAACCATTGAATTTTCTCCTTGTCACATTCTCAGTCCTAAGAACAAGCTGCCTCCTTATTGGGGCCGTGTCCTTCAAAGGCAGTCTGGCTTTTGTCGGTGCTAGCCTAAAGGGAAGGTGCTAGCCTAAAGGGAAGGTGCTAGCCTAAAGGGAACCACATCCCAGAAAAGGCCGTCACTTCCTTTCTCTTTGTGTGCCTCTTTTACCTTTCAGTCTTACAGCTTTTTTCCTCTTGTTCACTTGTGAATTACAATCTCTGGATCTGTGTCTCTGTCTATTTTCCAGTGTCTAAGGGTGTTGGCTTGGCCTTTTTGATCCCCAGAACTGTATCTATCTCAGTCTCTTCCAGTGGCTCTTCTTCCTGTACTGTATCTTTTTCTCCATCTCTCTTCCCGTTGTTTCATTTCTCCTTTTGTCCCCCTTCCTCCTGTGTCTGTTTCCTATGTCCCCAGGGCAGAAATGAAGTGCATTTCTAAACAAAATTACTATTTTAGAAGATAATTTCATTTTCTCTGTTACGAATTTTTATGTAGATGAGTGAATGGAGATCTCCAAATTTTCTTTCAATTCTGGAGGATATAGAGGCGTCTCGTATATGAATCTCAATTGTTTTTCCTTAATCATTTTTTCTAAATAATGCAGAATCACTTTTCTGGATAAGAAAATATCCTTGATTGAGGATAGCAGCCTACCTATTACTTGTCAATGACATTTACTTGAATCTTTTCAAAGTAAATATGATATTTTCAATTTAAGGCTGGAAAACCAGGGGGCGCGCAGGGGAGAGTCCTGCATCCTGTCCCTAATGGTTTCCAGATCGAGGCCTAAAGTGATGAGAGGGGTGGGGGCGGTAACCGACACGCAGGGCCCTGGACCTCAGAGCCAGAAGAAGCCTCTGAGAAATCCCACCCCAGCTCTCCTAAGCTGCGTGCTTTATAAATTCCTGTTCAAGAGGTGAGACTTTGATTTGGTAAGTGAGTCTTCATATCTAGGAATCCAAACTTGACTTTTGAAACCCACACGAGAGGCATCATTAAAAACCCCTTAAGCCCCAGCCGTACGGCATGAAGTAGTTGGAGTCACCCTGGCAGGTGAATCAGGAGCCCCAGATTCTATCTTGGCCACTTTCTAGGGCAGCAAGTCCGTTTACCATTCTGCAGCTAAGTTTCTTCATCTGTAAAATGAAAACAGTATGTTCACCTACCTCACTGAGTTGAGAACCAAGTGAGATAATATATGTAAAAATGCTTTAAAAAATTGTACAGGTATATATAGATATAAAATGGTGTTAATAACAGCGGCATTAGAGCCCATGAACTCCACCCCACATATTTATATTTGTGAAGAAACAGGAACAGTGGTTATTAATCAGAAACTACATTGTGAAACAGAATTATTCTTCCTCGCTTATCAAGTTTGAAGGCAGTATAATAATTAATCACACTGACCTTGAAGGCAGAAAGTACTGAATTCAAATCTCAACTCTGCCACCAGAAGTGCAACTTTGGGCAATATTTTAGTTACTCTGGGTCATACACACAGTGAGGATAATCGATTTTTCATGAGGACCTAATGAGATAATGCATACAAAATGTTTGATATAGTGCCTGGCACATAGTAAGTACTCAATAAACATTAGCTTTAAAAAGTATCAGACACGCCCTGGCCAGGTGGCTCAGTTGGCTGGAGCATTGTCGAGTACACTGTCAATTTCTGTCCCCGGTCAGGGCACAGACCTAGGTTGTGGGTTCAATCCTGGTTGGGGTGCACACGGGAAGCAACCAATCAATGTTTCTCTTTCCCTCCCCTCTTCTTTCTCTATCTCAATAAGTATATCCTTGGGTGAGGATTTAAAAGGAAAAAAAAGTATCAAACATTTCTTAAGCACTTGCAATGTTCCAGGGCTAACTCAAGAAACAAAATGAAAAGACGTGGTCCTGTTTCAAAGAGCTAACAGTTTGGTGGGGAAACATACATAGAAAAAAACAAAAACAAAAACAAAAACATGCTCACTACTCAAGTGCAAAGACAGGTTAGAAAATGAACTTATAGCCCTGACCGGTATGGCTCAGTTGGTTGGGCATTGTCCCAAGAAGTCAAGGGTTGCCAGTCCATTCCCAGTCAGGCACACGCCTGGGTTGCAGGGTTAGTCCCCCGTCTAAGTGCACACGAGAGGCACCCGATGGATGTTTCTCTCTCACAGCGCTGTTTCTCTCCCTCACTTTCTCCCTTTCTCCACTCTCTAAAAATAAATAAATAGAATCTTTAAAAAAAATTAACTTATAAATCTGCCTGGAGAGACAGGTAAACAGAAACCTTTTTGGAGGAGGAAGTACTTGACTCAAGACTTTTGAAGGGTGGCGGTGCTCTCCATAGCCCACTCAAATCTCCTTTTGGAGTGAATCTTTATTCTCCTAAACTCTAAGGGTCCCCACAAGACTTGCAACCAGGGGAGCAGTGGGCAGCGGCAGCTCCTCCTGGGCTAACCCCCTGTCTCCAAGCCCCTTTTCTCTAACTCCCCAGGGAACTGACAGCAGCCCCGGCTGGGCCCACTTTCCGGTAACCTTGCTAGGCAGCCTCGCCTAGTCTCTCTCCTGTTGCTGCTCCTATGCTAAACCCTTCCTTGCTTCCCTGTCCCCAGCTTTAATAAATGTACTCTCAGAATAAAAATGTAAAAAGACTTTTGAAGGGTGAGTATAAGTTTGTAGCGAAAAGGCTTAGTGCTTATTATTTGGCTTTATCATTTGCCCATGGGGGTTTGATCCCTTGAAAAGTCAAGACTCATGTTTATGCTTGTTGGCTTTCTGGTGATTCAACCTAAGCATTCTGGTGACTTCAAAGCATAGTGTTGGCAACACATTTTACTAGCTATCTTGTGTATGTGAAACATCTGTTTTTGTTTTCATTTCATAGACTCCTTAAGAGCTGTACAAACAACTTCTTGCATAGGGTATAGGTGGGTTCCTGCCACTTAAAAGTTTTAGCATCCTTGGTACAGGTTGTAGATCTCATTAAGGAGAAAAGGTAGGGAGGACTGTAACCAACAAGTTGTCTCTGGAAAAGCTAGAGTGACTGGGATAAATGGGTAAGGAGTAAAAAGTGGAATGCACACGGATTTGTTCTAGAGGAATGGGAAGTTTACAGATAGCTGTCCTTTGTTCACATGCAAATGTGAAACTACAGAAAGCTTTGTATTGATCAGATACCTTGCTACTAAACTTCCGTGTCTTTCTCATTTCACCAAGTATGTTAGCAGGGAATTTGAGTTAGAAATGTTGCCCTAAGTGGAAGAAATTTCACACTTTTCATTGGCTTTCTGCTTTCTAAGTATTTGCTAAATCTCATCTGAACATTTTTTGCTCTATATCTGTTTCTATACCAGTAACTGCCATGTTAGAGAAATTTAATTGGCATCAAACAAATCATGTTACTTTATAAAAGTCATATACTCTTAGGAATTTAGAGCTGGAAGAGCCTTAGAGAGCTTGTAATTCGGCCTCTTGGTTTTACAGTGAGGAAACAGTGGCTCGGAGAGGCTGAGTGGGATTGTTCCAGAGTCCTCTTCTGGCGCTTTTGTCAGCGTTTTGCATGAGGGTGATTTGAAGAGACCCATAATACTTGTCAGTTGCAGTAGGCATAAGTGAATTGTATTTTTCTCCACATTAGCTGAGGAAGATACCGGTCAAAGCAAAGTAACTTTGGTGAGTCCCAAGAGAGAGAGAAGCCAGTAACACTGAAGTTACTGTATTGGCCCACATAATTGGTGCTGAGTGAAAGTGAATCGATTCCAGTCCACCCAATTTAGGGCACTTGGCCTGGAACTTTTACTAAGAGCCACTGACAACAACAACAAAACAGTCACTAAGACCGGGTAGTACTTTGACCCAAAGCCAAGAGGCAGTATGGTACTGCCGCAGAAAATCTGTAGACATGATATTCCACCTTGTGTACCTGAGAGGAGCTGATGCATTCTGTGGCAGGATTTAATGTTTTTAGGAGCAGTCCCTTCCAGAGAAATTGCAGCAGTTGGAAGAATGTGGAAATGCCATCTTTGGCCTGCAGGAAGACCGCTTCCTTCAGACTCCTCCTAGGAAGCACGAATGCGTGGTAGTTGATAAGCCAGGCCACAGACAAGCAGATAGCCACGAGTTCACTCACCCTTTCCTTCTTCACCCCAGCGAGGGATGCCCGTCGCTCGGTTCGCATGGGGCAATGCCCCTGCTTGGAGGGCTCGTCCCACCCTGATGGTAGGGGTTCTCCACCGAGTGCGTTTTCCTACCTGGCTTTCTCCGGGGCCCTCCCCCTCCCATTCCATCCCCTTCGCCCGGGCTGGCAAGGAGAGGAGGGCTGTGGCAGGTGCGGGCATTTCATCGGTCTGGTCCCGGAGGGAGGGGGAAGCGTCCACGGTGACGGAACAGAAGCCCTGAGAATCACGGCCCTTCCCACCACTGCCTCGGCCACTGGCGGGCGGCCTGTCCGGTCGCAGCATCGGCGCACCAAGACCCCACTGGGCTCCCCGCACCGCAGCCCCCCGTCCAGGCAGCAGCTCGCCCCCGCGGTCCCCTCGCAGGCCGGCCAGGGGAACCCAGGGAAGCCTCCGGGCCCAGGGGCGGTGGCGGCGAGACCCCGCCCCAGCCCGCCAGCCCGCGCCTATCGCGGCCGCCGGCCTGGTCACGCGGAGTGGCGGTGCGGGATCAGGGCCAGCGCTCCGCGGCTGCCGGAGTCGCGGCGGGCCGGCTGGGGCGGGGTAGAGGGTGGAGGGTGGAGGGTAGAAATAGGGGCGGGCGGGCCGCAGCAGCCTCGAAGCCGAGTGGAGCCGACCTGAGCCACGCCGAGGGCGCCGAGCGAGGCGCTGAGCCCTGAGCACCCATGCTGCACACGTTGGCCTGGGGCTCACTCTTCTTCCCGGGGCTCTTCGCGCTCAGCACCTGGGCGCTGCGCCGCGCGCGGCCCGAATGGACCTATTACGACTGTTTGATGATCAGCACCAGGTACGCGGCGAGGCCGGCGCCTCCCGCCCCACCCGGCCGCGCGCGGGCTGCCCGGACCCGCCTGAGCCCGGCCCTGCGCCCAGTGAGTGAGAAAAGGGGGGTAGACAGGAAGCGAGGGGGCTGCCTCCTAGTTCCTTGCCCCTCTTTGCGGCACTGGCCTGGGCTCTGGGAAGATCCTGTGCGTCCTGTCCTGGAGGGAGAGGGGAGCGGGGTGGAGGGTTGCCCACTTTGGTCTGGATGGGGAGGGAAACCCGCTACACATCTGCCAGCTGCCCTGGGGGTCGGGAGCGCGGCGGCGGCCCTACCATTTTCCTCCCGGCGCTGGAAGCCTAGGGGAAGGTCAGGTTGAGGAGTTTGGGCTTTATGCTGTTCCTGGGACTGGAATGAGTGCGCTCCCCCACCCGTCTTTTTTTCTTTTCTGCCGCACATTAGGCTGGTTTCTTCAGCGCAGGCTGTGTTGGCCACCGGGTCTGGGATCATCATCATCTTCCACTGTAAAGACGTGGTCAGCGACAGGTAACATCCAATGCCAGGTGAAAGAAGTACAAATATCAGCACTGAACTTTTTCTAAGTTTGCACATTTTAGTGGCTCTCAGACACTAGTTCTTTATCAGCACATGCTGTTGGATAGTTGATTAATGGGAAAACTTGTGCACCATAATTAGTTCGCATCTCCTCCCTTTACCTTGTTCTGCATGGCCACCTTAGGAGAAAATAAACTGAAGAAATGGTAGAAAATGACAGAGTTTAAGCCTGATTTAAGGTGGCATGTGAGAGGACAGTGTGGTCCATTGAACCAAGTTCTTTATGAAATAGATACGTTTGGAAATTATTCAGAGGTGGAAGTGTGGCTTTTGGCTCTTTTACGTGATCTCTCTAAAGCCCTGCCTGGAGCATTCACTGGCCAGGGTAAGTGCAGTGTGGTTAGCAGAGCCTTAGGAATGCTGCTCCTCTTTCCTCTGATTTGCTAAAGATTTGTCAAGAGGGTTCTGATGCTTTGAGAAAACTGGCCTATATATATATGTTAGAGCTCAGTGCAGAGGCAGGTCAGGAAATGTGCCTCTAGTGAAACAAATCATAAAGACAATGGTGGTCTACTTTCTATAGTACTTGACCTGGTCAGTGGTGGTGTTTTGTTTGTTTTTGAAGCCATTTTTTTTTCCCACCTGTCTTTCTAGAACCACTCTTACTTTCTCCCAGTTAAGTTGAAGAGAGATAGTCAATATACAGGGAAAGTCTGATCCTGACCCTTCCCTCCCCGTGTTGAGTCTGCAATGGGAAGAGAGCCCGAGTTGGGTACCTGTCTCACTGGCCTGCAAATGTAGTGCCTGGATCTTCCTTGGGATTAATGCTATGATCATTTTTTTTTTCTTGGTGATGAATTGTAGATGCTGAGAGAAGACAGTAAGGTGACTTTGATTACATATATTAAAAGCTAACAGCATTTGCTTGGCCGGGTTCGGTTTTTATCTTAATTGAGCATTTTGTGATCAGGCGGCAAGCTCCCTCACTGCCCCCACCTAGTTTGTCAGATCAAGCTTGAAACCAGCCTCTTTTGCAAAGATAAAGACAGAGGTGGCTCAGCACTATCTTGAACTCACAGGAGGGCAATCAGCAGGCAACCACTACACATTTCATAAAAAGATATTTACGCACAAGTAACTTGCAGTTCTGTAGCACCACTGTTGTGTTTACCCTGTAGAAGTAGTGTGTTTTAGTGTCTTGAGCATGGCAAGAAGCCTGAGTTTGGTTTTCCTGATCCTCGTTTTGTGTATCTTTATGCCTTAGATTCTCTGCTTGTGAAATGGAGAGAGACATGTTTCTGTGCCCTCTTCCTTAATGTGGATGCACAAGGATGCTCACCTAGATCATCTTTAAAAATAAAAATAAAAAAAATTAAAAAAGGCCTTTGGGTCTCATATCCTATACACCCAAATATTTTTCTGTTATATGCCTTTTTATTTTATGCCTTCATGTAGACTGTCTATAGATAGGGGGTATCAGTATATCCCCCCAATATATATATATATGCAGAGTGTGGTCCAAGGATTTCATCAGATTCTTAAAGAGGTCTAGATCCCTAAAAGGGCTAAGAGTCACAGCTCTTGGCAATTTTCTCAATTTAAGCACTTACATTTGGATAGTACTTTTTACTTTTAAAAGGACTTTCAGTTTTTTAATCTTTACAAAAACTTTGTCAGAGTAGACAAGGATTATCTTCATTTTATAAAGAAAGCCAAGTTTCAGGCTAGTGATAGTTAAGATTACAATCTGGATCTCTTGCTAATAAATCTTGAGAGAATTCTACCAAGCGACCCACAATTTCAGATCTTATTGAATTGGTACCATGTACAAAATATTAAAACCCTAGGTTCCACTCAAGGGGAGAGGCCAGATATATTTCAGCTCAGCTTTTAATAGCTCTTTATACTTATTTAACTTGGAATTGTTTTAAGAAGGCCATGGAGACCATCTATGGGCAGTAGAATACTGCATCTTTTTCACTAAGTGGAATCTGGCTAATTAATTCAGCTATATGTATACTTTCCATCCTTTGTTGTTTCCCTGTTTCATTGTTTACTCATTATTGAGTTATGCTTTGATAGGTGTGGAATCATTCAGGAACAGAAACTTGAATAGGCACTATCTAGTATATTCCTGATGTTGCCGTTCATGGACTGGCTCCTTAGGAAATCACCTAAGACAAAGTTACAAAGACAGATTTGAGGGCTGTATGTATACCATTAAGTCTTTGGGTCCTGGATGGGTTGCTCAGTTGGTTAGAGCATCATCTGGATATGCCAAAATTGTGGCTTCAATCTCCCATCAGGGCACATGCAAGAAGCAATCAATGCATGCATAACTAAGCAGAACAACAAATCAGTGTTCTTTTCTCTCTCTCTCACCCTGTTCCTCTCTCTCTAGAATAAATTTAAAAAAAAAAAAAGTCCAGGGGGCGGTGCCTTAACAAGCACTGCAGGTGATTCTGATGTTCAGGGAGTTTGAAAATCATAAAACTGAGTTGTTTCTTCTACCTAACAAACAGTGCTCAGTAAAAATTTGCTGATTTAGTGAATCTAATTCTTTCCAGCATAGGACATAATTTCAACTTAGATTTTTTTCCCACATCAATTTTCTGTAGAATTATGATTTATCATTTGGGAACAAAATTGTAGAAATTCTAGACTTTCCTTCTAATCTGCTTTAGGGCAGTGATAAACTATCATTTTGACTCAGCAAGTATTGATTCACTCCTTCGGCAAAGTAAATGGGAACACTTGTCTTTTGCCCCAACTTCTCTTTTGGTATCTGACTGCTGTAAGGTACCTTGAGCTCCAGGCTCATTTCCAGACATATTTTTCTTAATGAGTGGAATTGGGATTAGCTACAGAATTGTAAAGAAAATGGTCAGGGTTGCTTGCAAGAAACTCCCTGCAGTGGGGTTACAAGCAGACACAAGGGGAAACTCCCAACTGTTGAGCAATGAGTAGAGTTAAACTGGAAATATTGGATTGGGATTCGGGACACCTTCCAAACCAGTTTCTTGGTGGGGCTGTTGAATCACTGGTAGAGATATCAATATCAAAGTCAGCTTATAACATAAAATGTCAGAAAATCCATTACAAATGATTAGCTACATCAGGAAAATAGTGACAGCTAGTCACTTAAACACATGGATGCTTTCTGCCTTTGAAATGAATTTTCTGTGTGATTTAAAATGAATTTTCTGTGTGATTTAAAGAAAGTCGTTCACTCTGTCAATTTCAGCATCTTCACTGTAAAGTATTTGGAGTAAAAACATCTGATTAATACAAAGCTGAAGGAAACGTATTTGAGAAGGGATTGGCTTTGAGCCCGCCGTCATAATTGGCATCCATAATTATTTTACGGACCACTCATATGCTTTCTTTCAGGTACTGGCTTGCCCGAGAATATGTCTGGTTTTTGGTTCCATATATGGTCTATGACACCTACGCCATGTACCTGTGTGAATGGTACCGAACCAGAGAACAGAACCGCAGAGACTCCCGCACCATTTTTCGAAATTACCTAAGTAAAAACCGCCTCATGATCACGCACCATGTGGTCATTCTGTTGGCCCTTGTGCCAATTGCACAGGTACGGCCTCCCAGGATATAGCCACCAGCCATCTAGGTCAGTTGTTTCTCCCATTGAAGACCAATACTTAGGAGTCAGGATTAGCCCCCCTTTTCCTTCGCTTTCCAACCTCACCCACTCTCATCGTGCCGGCTGCTTCCAAAGTTAAGATTCCCCTGTTGTAGAAATGTTCGTGATCGTCCTTGCCGGCAGTCCCCGAGCCCTTTGTGATTCCCTGGCCTTTGCCAGAGGTTCTGTCTTTAGTTCGTACAATATAAACACAATATAAAATACAACATAAGAATTTTTTAAAAAACAAGAGTAGCTCAGCCAACTGATTATTTGCTCTAACAGTGCGAGAGACTACTATATGCATTGTTTTGATGTCACAAAAGCATACTCAAAGCAAATAGCCTCATAACTTCTCCCCAGGTCCATTTGTGCCATAAAAACTATCTGAGAAAAGACAGGAATGCAGAGAGGAAACTAGTAATTTTTGAGTGCCCACCAGGTGACAGGCACTTTATTTAAAAGCTCGTAGCTTTTGCTAATTAGAAATGATTAGAAATAACATTAGAAATTTTTAGCCCTATGCCATAGATGAAGAAACTGGGGCTGTAAGAGCTTATGTAGCTCACTCAGTGGTACTAAATGACAGAGCTGCTATTCTACTATGCTGTATACTGCTTTCTTGAAAAGATAAAAGGAGAAGGTAGAGCACATTACATTCTTTAAGAAGTCTTCCTAACGTCTAGCACAGGGTCTGACACATACTTTGTTGAACTGACCTGGCTAAGTGCCCTTGGCATGACTAAGTTAGATACGAAAAGTAGGCTGCAGAGTTCCTTCCGGCTGCCATTGAAATTCAGAGAAAGCTTGGTGTGTGATGCAATCAGCCGATCAGAAGTTGCCTCTGGATCCTAGTGATTGGACCATCAAAGTACCATTGCAGTGGAAACAGCAGAGTATTAAGTGGTCCACACTTGCCCACTTATCATTTCCCTTTCCGTTTGTGGTTTCTCAGCCGTAGTTAAAATTTTCCTTCTGGTGAGTCCTTAACTTCCATGTCTTATTTCCCTTTTTCCTCTCTTCACCTGCAGAAGCTCAGGGGAGAACAGGGGGACTTCTTTGTTGGCTGCATCTTCACGGCAGAACTGAGCACTCCATTTGTGTCGCTGGGCAAAATTCTGATACAGGCATGTATGAAGGAAATGGCAGAAACAGTGGAGGGGCACAGTCTCTGCTTTTCCTTGGTAGAGTGTGGGGTTTAGAGAAATCTCTTAGTGCCAGGAGCAGTGGGGTAGGAGACCCTTGAACAGACTTAAAAGGTCAATTGGTCTTCCAAGCCAGTGGGGACAAAATTGTATGTTTTATTCACACTTGATATAGTCCTTCATATGTTTTTATTTTCCTGGCCATAGATTTTCTCTCATGGACTGTTCCTGTCAGTTGGGTGGCTTAGGTCAAATTCAGCATCACTGTTGGAAAACCTACAAAGCTATATGCATATATAAATACAGCAGTGCTCAACCAACTTTTCCAAGTGTCAGAGAGCTAAACGTTTGGCTTTTACTGCTGTGGGACTTGGGCTAGTCACTTCCTGAAGGCCCAACCTCTTGGTGACTGCATTCTCCTTCCCTCTTCTTTTGCAGCTAAAGCAGCAGCACACCCTGCTGTACAAGGTGAACGGGATCCTCACGCTGACCACCTTCTTTTGCTGTCGGATCCTCCTTTTCCCCTTCATGTACTGTTCCTATGGCCAACAGATGAAACTAAGCCCGTTCCAAGTGCCATTCAGGATCCCCTTCTTCTGCAATGTGGCCAATGTCTTCCTCATTGCTCCCCAGATCTATTGGTTTTCTCTGCTGTGCAAGAAGGCAGCCGGGCTCTTTGACACTCCCCCAGCCGAAAAGGATGGATAACTGCTCCCAGGAGTCAGGCAGTGAGGGGGCCTCCTCACGCTAGCTGCCTCTTCCACTCAGTATTCCACGGACCAGACCGTGCCCTGGGTGGCCTCGGCCTTTTGGGTATTGATAAGCAGATGGGTTTGAGTTCTAAAGAATATTCATATTACCTCCCTTTTCTAACCTGCCCCTTTTGCAAAAGCACTTTTTTCTTAGTAACAACTAGTGGATCCTGTCAGATCTCCGCTGGCAGCAAGGCTAATGCAAGCCCAAGGATCCTTCCTTGGGTCTTATCTCAAGGGCTCTGGGAGGTAGAAGCGTGGGGTGTGGAGACAGGTAGACCGGGATGATAAGCGTCTGGGCACCCAGCTGGCCCTAATATTGGCGGCTACCCACTTTGGCAAACACTCAGGGCAATATCCACACATACTGGGCCAGCAGAAGCAAGTGATGACTTGGTTCTTGAAATAATTTCTTATGATGTTGGCCTGGGGAAGTTGTGGGTAGGTAGTTTTTTATTGTTTACTAGATAATCCATTGGTCTTTTGCCTCATTCTTTCATGCATGTGCCAACATTGAATTCTCATGCCTACTGACTTCCAGTCAGCGGTCTCATTAGTTGGGGGTGGGGGGACGGGTAGGAGGCAGAGACGGGAACCTGAAGCACTTGAGTAGGTAGGGAGGCTAACAGGTCAGCATCTTTGTAGGCTGACTTTGTAAGACCCTTGTCAAACTTGTGTTTGTTCTAACAGTCACAAATACTATTCCCTTTCAAGCCCAGCTTTCCCAGTACCCACACACACAGGATGCTCTTGCTAAAAACTACAGGGGCGAAGTGGAAAGATGGCTACCAAGCTATTTACTGGGTAACCCCACTCTTTGACACTGTCCTTTGCACATGAAGTGGAAATGGACTTCTATATTCCAAACCAAGAAAAGTTGCATCTCAACTGCCTCCTGATAATCTAGAGCTTGGGGTCCAAAGCCTGTTCCTATGTGAATGTACCACCATTTGCAAATGGGATTCTCTGGTGCCAATCATTCCTTATCAACTAGGAGGGGTTTTAGAAACTGCTACCATGAAATTTTTTTTTCAAGTGGTAGTGAAAACTTGATTTTTAAAAGTGCCTGTTAATTCCTTGTTGTCCATGAACTTTTAAAGTACTGAATATGTAACAGTGCCTCAAATTTTGAATATTTCCATCTTTAATGAGTGCCATTTAAAAAATGCAAAATGCTTTAATTTTTTTTATTGTTTTGTTCACTGTCATTGTATCTTGTATAAATCACCCCTGTGGTGATTAAATTGCACTAATACTTCCCAACTTACTCTCATTTGTGAAATACAATACATCAATACCAACTTCCTGTAAGACCCATCCTGTGACCTGACTTGACTGGCTATTGTGTGGCGTTGCTTCTGGTCTGTGTCCATATCCACATAACTGGCAAAGGAGGGGTGTGAGGGGAGGGGGCTGTGTCACTGCTTTCAGCCTCCATGAGGGCCTATCTCATACCTCACTCTAACTCTGTGATTCATGGCTCCAACACACCGTAGGGTCCTAGAGTTCAAGCCCAGTGCTCACGTAACTTCAAGCCCTTTTTTTTTTCCTCTTCTGAGGTGAATCCCAATTAGGAACTGGGAGGGCAGAAACCCAACTGTAGGCTCCAGAGCCAGCCCACTGTCAGTGGGGAGGGCCCCTAAATAATGCCCCACTTTTAAGTGAGGGCATGGGTAGGAAGGAGATCCTTTTCTCTCCCTTGCCCCCAAATCAAACGCCTCACCAACCAGTCCTCACAGTTCTGTGATAGGTGCCCCCACCTTCAATTTGCATTCGTATGTGTTTACACTGTTCCCTGCTTCCACTCATTCTTCAGAACCATGACAACTGCTCTGAGCAGGAAATTACCCTCATCCTTTGAACACCTCTGCTGTGCTTACCAGACAGTTTTAGCACAGCTCCTCTGGATCCTCTGCATGGTTGGAGTTACAGCATAAGTCCTCAATTCAGAAGCCAGCCATTTTCCTGAGGTCCTTAATCTACCCCTAACACCAAATTTTCTTGGTCCAACCCTCTCCTTTTACCGTTTTACAGTGGTTCAGGCCTTTTGGGCACAAAATCACATGGCCAACTGGTGGCAGAATAGTTCTTTTCCTAATTGATGCCCTTTCCAAAAGACCACAAAATGACTCTTGAAGAGGGTTTCAGTGCAAGAGAATACACACATACCTTATAATTTTTCCACTTGGAAGGTTTCACCTTTGAACTTACTGACCAAATTTTAGGGTGGAGAAGCCCAGTTATGATCGCGTTTCTCCCAGCTTGATCTTTAAGATTCCTGCTGAGTCCAATTTCAGTGTATCTAAGCCTAGGCTATTGATGAGATTCAAGAGAGAAAAAATGAAACTCAAAATGAGAATTTTATTATAATTTGTATGTTACAAATACCTAAGAAACTTTTTCTTTACACTGGTGTTGCCATAAACTTTTTAGCATGTATACAATTTCACATACTTGAAAAGTCTGTGTTTCTCGGCTGGAGCCCCTGGAGACGCCACCCAGTGGAGGCGCAGCTGTTTTCTGGTCTACAAAGATCAGAAGTTGTTGATCTTCTGCAGCAGGGTCTGGCGCCGCTCCTCGGGGCTAATGTTCTTGGCAATGGACTTTAGGAAGTGCTGCTCATTTACCTTCTGGAGTAAGGCACTAATAGAAGGGTTGGTCTTGCTCAGGGTTTCATAGCAAGTGAGGATTTCCAAGGCCAAAACGTACAGTGGTTCACACACTTCCTGATGGAGCATGGCCATGATGTGCAGAACATGACAAAATACCTGGGTATAAAAAAATAGGACTTCCTGGGTCAGGTCCTGTTCTTGTCCTTGGGCCCAAGGGCCAACTGACTGTATCAACCTAACTGAGTCCAGGAGGTTGGTCAGACTGCTACAGAGGAGTTTGACCACGTGGCTCCAGCCTTCCATAGGAAGCCAATTACGACAACTCTGGCTGCAGAGAAACTGGAAAGCTCTCAGGAGGAGTACGGAGAGTTGGAGCTCCTGGGCCAAGGGCTTCAGGTTGAGCAGAGGAACAAACTGAATATATTCCAAGCTGTAAGGGACATGCAAGAGCTGTTTCTCCAAAAGCCTCCTGGTCAACTGGAAAAGGCACTGCCATTCCTGGATGCTGCACCAAGGCATGACCTGTACCAGGGCTACCAGAAAGCCCTTGCTGAACAATCTGACCTCCTCAGGGTTGTCCACACCCACCACTAAGAGGGAGAGCATCTGCTCAGAGATGTTTTTGGAGGTGCAGCAGCACTCCATCCAGGCCAGGAGCCCTGTGCCTGGCCCGTACCCAGGGTGGGCCTGGGAGGTCCACTCATCCTCAGAGAGCTTACAGACCTCAAAAAGTGTGGCTGGCACCTCACACTTGAAGTGGCCCTCAAAGAAGTTCTTCAGTCTCAGGCCCACAGTCCAGTCTAGCTGCTCCAACTTCCGGTGGAGCCAGGACAAGGACTTGATCCAGGAGTCTGGGGAGAAGGTCTCGGCATTAGCTAATACAATCTCACAGAGGAGCTCCAGGATATGGATGACCAGATCCTTCCCATCCAAAGAGAGGCACCGCTTCTCCTTGGGCAGCTGCCAGTACTTGCTGAAGGAGTCCAGGAGTTGGCACAAGCTGAAGATGAGGGGAAATGGAGAGCAGGTCTGGAGCCAGTATTCCTCTAAGCAGCCATTTGCTTCTAGAGTCTGGATGAAGATCTTCAGACTGAGGTCCACCTCTTCTACGTCAAGCATCAAGAAAGGCAGGACGAATTCCCTCAGCACCTCATCTGGCTCAAGGAGGGCTGCGACTGGAATCCCCTGGGGCTTCACAGGATGCATCAGGCATCGCAGGAGCTCCAAAAACTGCTTTTCTTCTTTGGGTGTAGAGAACTTGGTCCAGATGGTCTCTTTGAGGCATGACACCATGAAAGTGGTGGATGGATTTGGACCCTGCTCTTCTGTGAACCGGAGGGCGGGGAAGGCGGTAAGAATCTGAGCCAGGAATTTGTGGGTACCGAGATTGACCACAGCCATGCTGCACATTTTCTTCACTGTGATCTCCGGGTGCAGTATCACCAGGCGGGCCACGGACGCCACAGCTTTAGCCAAGCCCTGTTCAGAAGCGCTCTGTGCAAGCTGGTTAAAAGTTGTGTTGAGGTCTTCCTGAAACCCCTCCAAGTAAGCCAACAACTTCTCAGAGAGGCCTTTTCGCCCCCAGGAAACCAGGACACCTGAGAGGACTTTATTTTTGTCTGGCAGTGAGAGGTCTGCGTAACATTCTAGGATCAGCTTGATAACTTGTTTGATCTGAGATTGGGGGATGGCTCTGTCTGTCATGCTGACTTCTGCCACTGTTTCCAGTAGCTTTAACACCAAATCTGGCTCTTGGAAGAGAGCCTGGTTACTAACCAGGCAGGCTAGCCACTCGTCCGAGAAGGCCCACTTCTTCTCAGAAGCAAAAATGCAGCACATTTCCATGTGCCGATCCATCTTCTGCTCAATGATGGCCATGGCAATCGCGGCGGTGATATCCTTCTCCATGCCCTTGTTTAGTGCCCTCTTCGTTTTCTTCAGGAAATCCCCAACGCACTCTGCCACTTCAGAGACAACCTGCCTCTCCTCCTTGGAGAAGCTGGTGGTATCCAGGTAGACCTTCAAGTTCTGGCTAAAGGAAGTCAGACTGTCACACAGCCGGTAGCTGTCATAATTTGTCCCCTGGGTGCTGCTGAGCATGGCCTGCAGCTCCTCCCCCCACTCCCGCAGCAGGCTGCGCAGGAACTCAAACCCGACGAAAACAGTTTCATTTGGGAGCCTGGCCAGCGAGCTCAGGTTGACATCCCGTTCTGCCTCCTTTACCTTCTCTGCCAGGGCCTGTTGGTGATACGGGTTCTGGGTGTCCGAATTCCACACGGAGATCACCGTGGCCAGTTTGTCTAGATACACAGTTGCAGACACTTCCTGCGGGTCGTCCTCCATCAGTGCAAACACGGTCAGCATGTCAGCTAAGTTGGCTAATGCACAGCACTTCAGCCCTGGGCACAGGATTCTGTTTTGAATTTGCTTCAGCCCCGTGAGCAGCATGGCCAGCAGAGGCATGGTAGGACACACATCTGGATCTGACTTAAACCTCTTTGGGGGGTGGGAGAACTCATCTGAGGAGGACAAATACTTATGGGCCATTGCCCTAAACTGGGAGAGCAGGGGGTCCTGCTGATCACCCTTGTGCTTCATCATTTCCCACCAGACATCGAGAAAGAAGGCCACATCCTTTGAAGAAGTGTCAACAGCCACGTGCTCCAAAAAGCGCTCGAGTTCCGCACGGCAGATGGTGGTGGGGAGGGCCATCAGGAGCTGGATGAAGAGTCCAGAAGCTTCCAGAGACTTGAGAAGCTCAAAAAGGACTGTGTGATTAATGGTAGGGATCATGTTGCCTACTGAGAAGAACACATCTTCCTGCCACCGGGTTTCAGTGTCAGAAGGGGTGACGGGGTAGGGCTGAAGAACCTTGGCCCAGATCATGACCAGAGCTTTCCTCTTCCAGGCCAGGGGCTGGGCACACGCTGTGGCAGAGGAGATCTCCCTCAAGGCCTCCGTGATGGGCCGCCCAACATGCTCCCAGTCAGACTTTGTCAATTCTGCCAGTGCTTTGGGACGGAACAGCTGCTCAGCCAGCAAAAAGCCCCCATGCACAACTGCCATTTCTTCACAGATATTCAAGGGTCCTGCACAGAGAGAAGTCGAGTAAGATAGAGTATGGTGAAAATGTTCAAAATAGTAAGCAGAGGTTAGAAGGAGAGAGAGCAGTTGGTGAGCTGGCTGTCGTGATCAGGGTTAGAGAAGAGTACTAAATAGGGTCAGTGGGAGACGGGAAGGAAGTGGTGGTTCTAGGAGCCAATGCAGAGCTAGTCAAAAGGACTTACCCAAGGAATAAAAAAGGACTCCCAAACTCTAGCTTGAAACTGGGAAGACAGGCACCACTGGAAAGAGGGAATACAGGAGACGCAGACAGGTTTGGAGGGAACCCTGTTCAGTTTTGGTTATTTGGAGTTTGACGTACAACATTAAAGTAGAGATGCCCTCCAGCAATGGAAACGCACGGCTGAAGCTCAGGAGGAAACTCAGAGGGGATCAATGGAACCAATGAAGAGAGTGAGACCCTTCAGGAAAAGCTAGACTACTGACGCTAGACCCCCCGCCAAGCAAAAGATGGGCCAGCAGAGGATGTAGGGAAGAAGGGTTTAGAGACAGCAGGAGGGCAGTATCAAACTACAGGGGCCACACCAAATATATATTGTAGGACGAGAAACTGAGCTGTGCGCACAGAAGCAATCCGGCAAACCCTGCCTTCCCTCTTTTCTCTTACAGCCTTGTTCTGCAAACAGCTTTCAACTGTTCTGCCTTCCAGGGAAACAATTCACCCCACTGCTTCTTCCATCGAGGAAACAGTTACTCATATTCCTGGCTCTCTGGTAGAAACCAAGTGGTAGACCAAAAAAAATAACACACTACATTAAGAAAGGAAAGTCCTTCCTTCAGTGCGCCATGAACTCACAGAGACTTATCAAGGAAGACGCCTTGGGATTTTTAATCAGACATGAGTTTAGCTCAGCATTTAAAAGCAGTGTGACCTTGGATAGATGACTTCTCTAAGTTTCCATTCTGCATATGTACAGAACTTCATATAATGATTATGAGGATCATATGATACATACTAGTAGCTCTTGGCCCTGGGTCGTTGCTGTTGGCTCCTGATCCCATCTCCCAGGGACAGTGAGAGTTAAACAAGATGTATCTACACTAAGAATCAGGATACAAAGAACCTGATAAAGTGCTCAATAAATTCTGGTTTCCCCCCAATCTTTCCCTTGTTGACAGGATCAGAATCTTGTCACTATTCTTGGCCTTCCTGAACTCAGAAACACGAAAAGACATACATCTTCCTCAGAGGTGTTTCCATTTGCCAGAAAATAAATCAGAGCACAAACATAGCTCACCGGTCAGTATTCCTGATCCCTCTCCCCTTTCCCAGTCCATCATATCCCGGAGAACCCAGCTTCCCAGGCCAAGGGCCAACAGAGAGACTCCTGATTCTGGCCGACTCAAGAATGTCCTGCTCCTTTGACCATTTACGGGAGCAGCAAAAGGCCAAGGGATCAGCACTTCTATGCAGCCCAGCCCACAGGTGAAAGCTATCCACCTTGGCTCCCAGGGGCTGAGGCTGCCCCCCCAGGGAGGGTTAGGTGGCTGAAAGGGTCTCTCTGTGGGTTCTGGACCTTCTTTCTGGCTCAGGCTACTCTCCAGAGAACCAAAATATGTTCCCTATGACTCTGTAAATTGAATTTTATTGCGTTATCAGCTTGGCTGAGATGTCTGGCCCCTACAACGACTTTCCAGAGACACTAAGTAAATACATGTGCCTTTATATACTTAAAGGAATAAGCCCCAGGAGCAGTTAATAGCTGGATAATCCCCCAAGCGTTTTTTGGGTTTTTTTAGTCTTATTTTTAATTTATGTTGAGAGGGGAAGGGAGAAAGGGAGGGAGAGAAACAACAATGTGAGAGAGAAACATCAGTCGACTGCCTCTTGCACGACCCTATCTGGGGACCTGGGCAGCAATCCAGACAGGTGCTCTCACCCAGAATTGAACCAGCAACCTTTTGATTTGCACACAGGTTGGTGCGAAAACCACGTAGCTACAGCAGCCAGGGCACTGCCAAGTGTTTTATGACTATTGGTTAACTGGTCACTACTTTATATTGATTTAGTGTCACTCTGTACCAGGCACTTACATGTGTACATGGTGGTACACATGTAAGATCTCTTTAAATCTTCAAATCAACCTCTTGAGAACTGTATTATTCCTGTTTTAGAGACCGGGGCATTGAGACTCAGAAACAATTTGCTCAGAATGTTGCAACTAAAAAGCTGTTAGGCAGAAATCATTCACAGGTGTAGGGCTCCCTCCAAACTCTTCCTGCCATTCCATCCCTTAAAAGAGTTGGCTGGGGTCAGGGACCAGAACTTTTCTCCACAGCCCAGTATTACTGGCACACCTTGGGGTGCCTCACCCCAGCTCTCCCAGAGCAGGCTCCTGATCTTACCCCGTGGAAGCATGTCCCAGAAGAGTAAAGAGGCTGGGCAAGGAGCCACCGATTTATAGCAGCCTCTCCCTCCCTTCTTCCAAACTTTGTCTCAGGATTATGAATGAACGTGCACACGCCATCTCAGCTGCCACAACAGCTCCCCACAACTGCTAGTCTGATGAACGCTGCTGCGTGCAAGGCACTGAACCGGGCACTGCATACACGTGATCTCAATGAAAACTCGCCAAAACTCTGAAGTGGGTACATTATCATATCCGTTTTATCGTGAGGCTAAGTCACTTGCTTAAGAACTTTATCAGACATTCAGTAACTGAGACTGTCGGGCATCCGGGATTCCTCCTCCAAGCCCGGCATTTTCCAAAGCACGTGCACGAACCCTCGCACTGTCAAGAAATCGAACTTCACACCCGTTTGGCCCTTCACGTGGAAAGGGGCCGAGGGGTCAGGATACGAGCCAAAGAGCAGCCAGGACGAGGCTAGACCAGGGTCTCACGACCCTCGGTCTCCAGAGATACCCCAGCTCTCCAAAATCCCTCCTCCACCCGGAGGTTTCCCTTAGCCCAGGTCCACTCGGCTACACTCTTGTCTCCCGTTGCGGGGCGCGACCCAGGCAGGCTCGGGGAAGGGGTACCCGGACACCCACCTAGGTCCATGGCGGCGTCACAGCAGCAGCGCGGACCGCCCCTCCCCCGCACGGCGGCGAGTACTGCGCAGGCACCACGGCACAACGGGCGGTCCCAAGCGGGCGGGACAATAGGCCGCACCGCAGTCCCCGCCCACAGTCTCAGCTCCGGCTCCGCGCGGTTCAGCAGCCGGCTCCCGCCGCTCCGCGCGCACGCGCGGTCCTCACGTACGAGCCCGCGGCGTCGAGGCCGCCAAGCCCACAGCGCCCCTTATCGGCCCCAGGTCTGCAATCCGCCAACAGGCTAGTACCGGGCTTCGCCCCCTGGCCTCAGCGTGCCCCGCCCCTCTCTCCCCGCGGGTCCTGACCCTGGCCCCGGCCCCTCCGCCCGGCGCTTTCCATTTCAGATCTTTGGCTCAGCCGCCCATCTCCAGTGTCCAGTCCCGCCCTGCTTCCCGATCCCAGTAGGTCCCTGGCCACGCATTCTGCTTCACCCAGTAACCCCACACTGCATGTCCATTGCCAGGTTGCCCACTAATCAGCACGGACGCGCCCCTCTGTGGTAACACGCTTCCTCCCCAGCAGCGGGTCTTCCCGTCTGTGACATACAAGCACCACAGCCTCTTAATCGCACCCCAGTGCGCCTCCTTCGGGCCAAGGCTGAAGAAGCTCCTTAACTTTCTGTTATCAGAGACGCCTTCGAAATGTTAATGGTTGTCCTCTCCAGAAACTGCGCTCTGCGAGCTAGAACCACTGTGGGGAGAGATCCAATGCAGGGGGCCCCAGTTTGTAACGTGTACTTTATAAAAACGCACATTACCCTGTCTCCTTTACTCCCTTCCCCTTCTCCCCAGACTTCATCGCCAGCACGAGTGCTTTCTAACTCGCCCCCCTCCAGCTTCTAGAGCCAAGTATCACTGGAAAAGACAGAGGCCCGGCCTCAGTTCCCGCAATGGGCCAAGTGGAGTTTGAGCTGGCCTGCGCTGCTATAAAGCAGTTGAAGGGGCCTGTGAGTGATCATGAGAAGCTCTTGGTGTACAGCTTCTACAAACAAGCCACCAAAGGCGACTGCGACATCCCTGCCCCACCTGCCACAGATGTGAAAGCCAAGGCCAAGTGGGAGGCATGGAACAAGAAAAAAGGGATGTCCAAGATGGATGCCATGAGGGTCTACATTGCTAAAGTAGAAGAACTGAAGAAAAAGGAAAAGGGTTGAGGAGGACAAAGTGTCAAACAGAATGAAGTACAGTAGCATGGCCCCTCTGGTAGGGAAATGGACTTGGTAAAACACCTTGCTGGCTGAAATGTCCAGAAACCGTAGCGACCATAGCTGAGACACCAATAAATTACTTTAACTGCATGAAAGCGTATGTCTGCTGTTGGAAAAACAGACTCAAAGTGAATGTGAGAGTCCCAGGAAGCTGTCCAAAATGTGTAAAAAGCATCACTCCTCCAGGGAAAGTTCCATCAAAACTGGCTTTTGGTATGATGCTGTGTTCCCAGCCTTCCTGTTCTTGGATCATATGTAGATATTTGGCAGGAGTTGGGGGCGGGGGGGAATCATGCTATGAAAATGCCCAAGATTTGAGGCCAGTGAGAGGCTCAGCTTCCGGTGGAGGGGGAAGAAGAGGAGGCTGAGGCCCCTTATCTCTTCAGGGGCTGTGCGTTCACTCCTAACCCAACATTATGGAGGGGAAAAGGATTGTAAAAACCTAAAGGCAAGTCCTACTACCAAAAGCCCCTACTGGAACACAAGCCTTTTAGTGAGGTAATTGATGCATCACAATGTTACAGAAACTCCTCCCACTCCCTCCCCCTGAGGGTCTTGTTGCTTTATGGTTCCTTCTGCCTGCCGCTGTATTAGGAACTACGGCTCTCAAAGCCAGAGTTTGGTAAATAGGAAAGGAACTATTTATTCAGAAGTTATTGGTTCAGAATAATGGCAGAATGTCACCATTAAATCCCAAAGTCCCTTTAAAACATGCCCCCCGCCCCGCCAGTCTGGGGAACCGTATCTCAGGAAAAGATACAGAAGTTCACAGCTCTGCTAGATTCCCATTCTTAATCTAAAACCATACCTTGTGGTCAAGAGAGCCCCCTCTTAGCTCCCAAACTGTGTGGTAAAAAAGTCCAGCAAAGCTGCTGCACCTGGGTTTAAATCCCTGTGCAGATCTTCCTCCATAACCCCATTTCCAACTCCTCCCACACTGGGTTACACCTGTCAGTAGACTGGTTTCCTCCGCCTTTCTCGGCTTTGTTAGTCGGGGCAAGCGTGGTCCCCTGATGCAGGAGCCGCCTCCAAGCCGCTCTCGCAGGTGCAGGAAGCCCCTCTGGTTACCCTGCATTGCGGGTTAGAGTCATGCCCACCGCCTGGCTCTGGATGCAGGCACAGCTTTTTTAACGCTACTGAAACCCTGGCCATGTCCTTCAGATATGCAGAGGAGCTCCCAATGGCCCTGCTTGGCTCGCCTCATCCCCCAAGTGATAGCTATGGTGGGCTTTGGGATTTTGAGGGGACCTGCAGCTCAGCACCCCATTACAGCAACACGGTAACTGAGAAACACTGGAGCAGATCGTTTCAAAATCCCACCTCTGAACCACTCATCTAAGGCCTAGCAACCAAAATTTTCTGGGGACTGCTGCATAGCTAATCCTGCTTTCTACTTGGGGATGGCTGTGGGACAATATGTACCTGTTGTGTATATGGGATTTGTTTCAGGAGCCCAACAAGCCCTTGACTCATACAAGGGCCAGTGTCTGAGCTCAGCTTCTACTCCTTAGTATTATCACGCAGGTATCAATTCACAGTGCTGCGCTGGAATACGGAGTGCTAACTGATATTATTAGAGATGTTTCAAAGCAATAGGTCTGTGGTGGCATGGGATTTTCCAATACTTTTCTTCAATTAAAAACTATTTTCATAAATCATGACATCAGGTTACCTCCAGTTCATGAAGGACCATTAAACAACAGAAGCAACAACCATAAAGACTTCAGAGGAAAGTCAAAGGAAACCAAACCTCAGCAGGTATCTTTGAGATCTTCTGTTCACGTATTTGTAGGAAGTTGCTAGAGACTAAGTACATCACTTAAGAATGAAGTATGCCCAGGACACAACAGTGACTAAAGAACTGTTCCTTGTAACAATAAACTGGGCAAGGGCCACGTAGTATAAGTTGTATTGTTTTCTCTTCTTTAAAGGGTACACACTTTGAGGCTTTTAAAACCATGACTTGCATTAAAAGTAAAGAGTAATAATAGCGCTGGCTGGTGTGGCTCAGGGGAGTGAATGCTGGCCTGAGAACCAAAAGGGTGCTGGTTCAATTCCCAGTCAGGGCACATGCCTGGGTTGCAGGCCAGGTTCCCAGCTGTGGGAGTGTGAGAGGTAACTGATCCATTTATCTCTCAAGCATCAATGTTTCCCTCTCTTTCCCCCTCCCTTCCCCACTCTAAAAATAAATATATTTTTTTAAAAAACAATAATAATAATGGAACATTCTGTAAATCACCATAAAACCCAATAAAGTAAAAATGTACCATAATTAAGACTGCAGAAAGCAATTGTTAAGCTACAATTATTTCTTAAAGCAAGGTATAACATACACAGTACACTAAATTTTGTGGAATAAAGGGAGAAAATATGAATATATATATATATATATGATTAATAAGTAGGAGGCAGGGAAGTGGGACTGATGGGCCGAGTAAGAGCTAGACTTATCAGTGTACACCTTTTACACTGGTTTGGTTCTTAACCATTGACTCTATTTAACTTACAAAGAGGTCTGAGGCAAGGGCATCTCTTCATTGAACACTGAGGCCAGAGGAAATTTCCTATAGGGTAAAGGTAATAAATCTCAGACCAAACTGGAATTTCCCATTAACTCTTACCATACAGTCAGTGGACAAGGTGGAGCCCTCCTGAAAGTCCTGCCAAACCGCACCGGCACTGTGTGATAGGTGAGATGGGCAGAAAGTCACGCAGAGGAGAACCAAAAGTCCATGGCTTTATTAATTCCACTACGATGTCAGGGAAGTAGGGATTTCATACTAACTTTCTAGGCTGACCTGGGAGAACTCTTGCAACATAGCCATTCTAAATCTTTCCGGATTTCTACCCAAGCTGTATTTGAATTTATCTAGGACTCCACCTCTCAGGTCAAAAAACAAAATGTTAACACAACATAAATCTGGAGAAACAGATGAACTTTCCAGCTTCATCTGGTTAAAAACACCAGCTTGGACAAAACCATGTTTCTTTTACCTTTGTTTTCTGGTAGATCCTACCATCTCCAGAGGTGGGAAAGTAACCCTAACCTTTCGTTTAAAATTACTAGCTGCAATGTGCAGAGGAAAACGTTCAGACTCCTTGATAGAAGGTCAATGTCGGACACTAAAGGGTTTTAGGATGAAGAAAATATTAAAAATTGCAGCACAGGAAAAATGACAGGTCATGAGGTAAATAAAAGGGGGCTGAAATAAAGCCAAAACGTCCCAGGTAGATAAACCGCATTAACTTCTTTCAGGCATAATCGTATATTTAAGAGAAAATATTTGGGATATGTTAAAATATGAGATAAGCAGATAAAGAGGGATCTAGTATGTATTTAGTCATTTAGTACTTACATAAACCACTTATTTTATGATAACAAACTTGGAAGGCCATATCACAGCAGCCCAACACACTGGGAAACTATAGTTTTTATTTTTCACAAGAACACCATTAGTAGAGATAAAAATCAAGAATTATTTAATGTAATAGAAACCCTGAGAATAAATCATAGTCTAAACAGACATAGAACTTTGATTATTACAAATTCATACAATAACTTCCCCGTGTATAAGGAGAAAAAAAAGTGAACATTCGTATAGAGCAAGAACATAAATAATTTAGTTTGCTTTGAAACTCATGGTTGCTTCCTTAAGATAGAGCATTTAAGCTGGATGAAAAATGCTGCGAAGCAAGAAAAAGACTATTTTCTCTCAGTGAAAGTAAGATCACTCTATAAGCAGGTGAGCTGAAATTCACCCTGAAATTTCCATACTCCACCCTGCCAGCAAGGGAGAAGAGCAGAGGCTCTGACTTATAAGTAATTTAATATATATTATCCTGGGACTGGTATCGTCTGGGTCAATCCCTTCCGATCTCATCAATCTCTTTCCTAAAATTTGAACCTGCCCACCACTTTAAATAATGATTCTTACAGGCTGGTATTAACAGCTCAATTTCGGAATGACATCTTTGAAAAACATTTAATAATAAATATGCCCAATATAATTTTGTTGCCAATGATTAAATTAATCTGTTTTATAGAACCAAACAGAAAATTACAAGAAAACACTAAAAAAATTTTTTTCAGGCCAAAGAAATCATCTAATCCATTTTTAAGAAATTTAACATGTTCTCTTCTTGTGAAGATTTTTAGAAATTATATAAGGAAACTCGCCCAAGCCAGGCATGCAGCAACACAACACATTAGATCCTTGTCTATTTTCTCTGGCTACTCAAAATTTTAAAGCAAGGAATGCAGGGGTGTGAACCAAACCTTTTGGTTCAAGGAATAAATTTTTAAAAAATGTTTAAATGTCAAGGCCTGCCAGAGTAAGACATCAGAACAACACACTATCATCAGATGCTGGAGTATTCCTTTATAAGCAATATGATTTGGATTTATCTGAACAGGTGGTCTCATAAAATCCACATGCTTACCGAAATTCCTTCCATCCCAAGCAAAGGTAATGTCCCATATAGCTGCCCTAGACCGGAAAATAATTTATTACTCATCTATACAGTTACATGCAGACTGTGCCATTCCAGCGACAGTGCAGATTACAGTAAGAGTTCTCCTCTAACCGGCCTGACAATAATAGGATTGTATACCTAAAATATATCAGAGCTTTCATAAGATTAAAACACATATTATCTTCACTACCCCAGCTTCCTTGCCTATATAGGAAACAACCAAGTTGTGAGAGCATTTATCACGAATGGACACATCAAACCTCCTGGGAGCTAGGAAGGAAAATGCTTCTCCCACGGGATGTCTTCTGTTAACCTGAAGCCTTTGGTTTATTTTGTGTAGCAAACCATTCATCACTTTTATCTGCTGCCATTGCCTACGGAAACAGAATTGGCATATATATTCTAAGTCCATAAAATAAAACAGAGAGTTCACTTTGTACTTCATTGCATTGTTCATAATCAAGAAGTTAACAAGTGGAATGAGTTCGTTCAGTGGAGAGGATCATGTTTGCTTTGACAGAGGGTGCTGATGAGCACTGAGCGATTGCTTGTGGACTCTCACTTTGCAGAGTGAAGGGCCTGCAGCCAGGAAGTGACTGACTAGAGAGCAAGGACAGAGCCCACCAGGCTGAGGGGTCTTCAGTAAAGCAGACGGTGCTGTCACTCTTAGCACCTGGCTGGCCAGGCTCTCGGGAATCCTTAGTGCTCCTGAGACTCAGCCTAATAATGAGAGCGAAGGTGAAAAGCTATTCTGACATTTTAGCTATTGAGCCTGGAACGATTTCCTTTTTCTATGCTTCTTCCCACACCATTCCACTGATGCTGGTACTATTCAGTTAATTTTGGGTCAGTTAATTAAAAAGGATGCCTTGTTAATAACAATATGTTTTGGTTTCACCAGAGACCTTTTATCCTATCGTTCTGTGAGGTTGAGACCATGGAGTGGGGCTTGTGGAGGCTTAGAATCTAAGTCTCTTAACTTCCTGTCCAATACAACCAAGCATATGCTAAATAGCTGTTTCATAAGAAAATACATTCACTTATTTAGTCAAAAAGCAAGCACAGAAACACCTTTAAAAACGCCAGTTTTCATTATGAGCTAGGCAGGCATTAATTTGGGTGTGGGTGTGGGTGTGGCAGCAGAGACATAGTTTAAGGCTTTGAAGAGCACATAGAATAGCTGAGGCCTCAGATATGAAAACAACTATTTTGCATACAGGCGTATAGGGGCGGGGGGATCGTTTGCTGTAACAAAACAATAAAGTGATGGCAGCCTGAAGGAAAAGGAGTAACTAACTGGTTGGAGAAATAGTGTACAATTAGTGTAAAATCCACCTCAGCAAGAAGTCCAAAGATGTTGCCTGCAATTGAAAACGAAGAAAGAGAAACACATGGTGGTTTTTTTTTTCATTTCTGAACAGCGATGCCAGGACGGCCGCTCTGGGCAGCGGGGCTCTGCGATGGGGCAGGGGCCGCGGCACCGCACCCACGCACAACCCTGGTACTGCTGGATTTTGATGAAAATACAAAAGTATTTAAAAAACAAAGATATGCAGGGAAAAAACCCCACAAAGGGGCAGAAATTTCTGTATTTTAAAAAGTGGGGGAAACAACAAACTCCAGTATGGAGAACCCAAGGAAACTTCTGAGTTTTGAAGGACAAACTGAGTAAGAGGGGAGGAAAAGAAAAGCCCTCGGGTGGAGGCACGAAGATAAATCTTGGGGAAAAGAAATAGCTCGCTGGGACGGCAATGGGAGCTGGGGAGATCAGAGGGCAGGGACGGGCCAGACGGGCCCTGTCAAAGCGTTTGGAATGTATCTTTGAGGCAACAGAGAGCTATCAGAAGATTAAACAGATTTTTTAAATTACTGGATTTTGTGCTTTAGAAAGCTCATGCTGGCAGCAGGGATTGACTGGGCGGTGGAAGAAGGCTTCTGCAGTATTATGGGTGATAAAAAGGACGTTTTCAGAAGGCAGTAAACAAACAAGATTTCAGAGGTAAAACTCAGTCTTGGAGACTAATAGCTAATAGAACTTCAGGGTGAGGAGAAACAACATTAAAAAATGGCTCTGTTTGTATACCTAAAACTATTCTAAAGTAAAAAGTATATTAAATGTAAAAAAATTGGCTCTGAGGATTCTTGCTTAAGTAATTGAGATAAAAGATATACAGCACTGGTAAGGGGAGAGAGCAGAGTAGAAATAGGGGAGGAAAGAGAACTGGCTGTAAAGCCTGAAAGATCTTAGTTCAAGCCCTTGCCCTGACACTTACTGAATGTATAATATTGGGTGACAATACTTTTGAGCCTGTTTCCTCACCTGAAAAGGAACTATCAACCCTGCAGATTGTGGAAAGAATAGACAATAGACATAAAGTGCTTAAGAATATGTCACATGTCAAAAACATAGAATACTTAATAAATAGTAACTTTTATTTTTATATGATTAAAAGAAGAATGGGTTTGAAGTGAGATGAATTAAGTTATAGATATACTGAGTTTGAAATATCCATGGTGAAGAGGTTTCATTGGCTATAAATTTGGTTCTGGACACAAAAAGCACTAAACATAAAAGAAAAAGTTTACAAACAACTTAAAAAATTTTCTGCTCCTCAAAACACTCTATTAAGAAAATAAATAGGCAAGCCATAAACTAGGAAAAGTACTTGCATTTGAAGATATCAAATGACTCACATCTGAAACTCCAAGAATCAACAAGAAAAGATAAATAATCAAAAAAATTTTAAATAGATTTGATTGGGCCTTAAAAATAAGCAAATATTCAAATAACAGAAGGACACTCTAGGAAAATAAAATAATGTGAGCATAAACATATGAAGAGGTTAGAGAATAGACTAGAATGGCAAAAATGAAAATAGATCAGGTGTTCGTCATGAAAATAAATGGATCATATAAACTGTTCTGTATTTATATAGTCCAATTACATTAAAGCTACTTTAAAAACACAGGGCAAACCAACTGTATAAAACTACTTTGAATGGAATCAGGGAAATTTTAGTAATAAGTGGATTTGAGGTGACATTAAGGATATACTGTTGATTTTTTAAGTGTGATGATGTCAGTATGTTGTATTAGAAAATTTCTTAATGTTTACTTCTTTTAAATTGTGAAATGTCATGGTGTCTGAGATCTGCCTTAGAATTCTCCAGCAAAAAAAAAAAAAAAAAGTTGAGGTGGGAAAGAACGATGAGAAGTTATGGCCCAGAGCTGATGAGTGACAGTCACACAGGGATCTGCTGTCCTCGCTTGTGTATATTTGGAATTTTTAGTCATAAAGTAGTAAAAATAAACCTATTATGGAAAGAAATGGACAAAAAAACATATAATTCACAAAAGAAGACAAGCAAATGGTCAATGAACATATGAAAAGGTGCTCAACACCATTAATCATCAGGGAAATGGAAATTAAAATCACCATGAGAGCCCTGGCTGATGTGGCTCAGTGGATTGAGTGCCAGCCTGTGAACCAAAGGGTCGTGGGTTCAATCCCCAGTCAGAGCACACGCCTGCGTTGCGGGCCAGAGCCCCAGTTGGGGGCGTGCGAGAGGCAACAGATTGATGTGTCCTCTTGCACATCGATGTTTCTCTCCCTCTCTCCCTTCCTTCCCTTCTCTCTAAAAATAAATAAATAAAATCCTTTAAAAAAAAACCATAATGAGAAACTACTTTACATGTACTAGTGTAGCTACAACAACAACAACAACAAAATATAAATGTTGGGGAGGGTGTATAACAGCTGGAACCCTGACCGTGTATGACGTGGCTGATAAAAGTGTCAAAAGGTTCAATCACTTTGGGTGACTGTTTGGCAGTGTCTTAAAAGTAAAAGCAATTCCACTCTTACGTTTTTATCCAGAAGAAATGAAACATGCATCTGTCTACAAGAAGATTTACACAAGAATGTTCACAGAAGTCTTCCTTATAATAAATGAAAATCTGAAACAACTCAAATATCCATCACTGGAAGAATGGATAAAAAAATTGTTATAAAACTGAATACCACTCAGCCATAAAAAAAAGAACAAACTCCATGCAACTACATGGAGGAATCTCAAAAATGTTGAGTGAAAAAAGCTAGGCACAAAACAATACCTACGGAATGATTCCATTTATATGAAGTCCAAGGACAGATAAAACCTCTGGCAGGCGGGGGTGGTCACGAACTGGAAACGGGCATAAAAGAACTTTCGGCAGCGATGAAAATATAGTTTGAGTAGTAGTTGTATGGGTATTTATATGACTGTCAAAACTCATCAAAGTGAGCACTAAATTTCTGTACATTTAAATTCTGTGTATATTTTACCTCAGTAACAACAACAAAAAATAGCTGTTTGGAGCCCAGGGAGGAGCTGGAACTGGGAGTTAGGAATCAGAGAAACAGTGACGGCTCTGGCTGAAGAGTGGCAGGAGCCAGAGCAGACAGCAACGTCGGCTGGGCGGCGAGAGAACGTGACCCGAGGAGAGCGGCAGGCAGCCAGAGCAGGACCAGGCACCGGAGGGGGCGCCCGCGACTGAGGAGAAGCTGCTGGAGAGACGTGACACCGGCTGGTCTCTAAAGCCAAAGCGGGTAGAGCTCAAAAGAGGAGGAAGTTGGCAGTGATATGAAGGAGCAGGGACAGGGGCTGGCAAATTTGCCGACTGAGAGGTGGCCTAAGATTCCATTTTTCTTTATGGTAAAATTTAAAAATGCTCTATTTTCTACTTTAATGAACATTGATGGTTTGTAACAACAGACAATCATGTCAGTAGGTAGCTTGGCAGGTTCTATAAACCACACAACAATACTCTCAGGTGAATAATCTTATTTTCTCAAATTTGTAGATGAAAAGGCTTAAATTTAGAGACTGTAAGTAAATTGCTTGAGGTCAGTCACACAGCTATTAAGTGACAGAGCCAGGAAAGGCGGATGCATTCCTTTAGTCATCAGCAGAGTATTCGCTGAGTGCTGACCACATACCAGGTGCGTGTTAGATGCCGGGGCACGCCAATGCACCGCTGCTTGGATACTGCTAAAAAATCCAGTTTGAAGAGGACAGAAAAGAAGCTGCTGTATTTTTGGCAAGATGGAAGTCACTGATGAGATCAAAATGCACATTTCACCAAGTGATAGGCGCCAGTGTAGTACAGATTGAAGTGTAAATGGGAGGTAAGAAGTAGAAGCAGTGTGTAGGTAGAGTTTTAAAAAAGAAATCAGGAGAAGTTGTATGGAGTAAATAAAAGATTTTCCAAGAAGGAAGACACTGGAGCTTGAGATCAATTCAACTAGAAAGGAAGAGAATAATGTGATAGAAGGAGAAGAGATGACCAAAAGAGCTAAGGAGTTGAAAGGGGGCGGTACCCAGGCATTTCCATTCAACGGGCAGGAGCCGCAGTGGTTCCCCAAGGCGCCTGAGGCAGTGGGAAGGCACCGATGCTGCCCCCAGAGAAGAGCTGTAGAGAAGGCAATAAAGATGCGAGTCCCTGGTTCAAAAGTCATCCCCAAAGCCAAGAACATGGTTCTGACAGTGAGAACTGACCCCTGCCGCTCTGGCCCTTCCCCATGCGCCTTAATGCCACCTCCCTTGGACCTATGGTCGTATATATTCAGAAATGAGACTCACGTCATCCAACAATTTGCTTCCCTTGGGATCCATCTTAGAGAGTTCTCGAAATGCTTCATCCCCCACAAAACAAATTTCATGTCCATCCTACACCAAAAAAGACAAAAGAAATATGGCAACAAGACACCTCAAAAGAAAGCCGTGGTGCAGCCTGACCCCTTCCTGAGTGATACTTACAGGGTCGGCCAGAATGACCACTTGTACTGTTGCTTTCCCTGGGGTATCCAGACTCACCAGGTGAGTCAGAATCTTCTGCTTCTCCCTTTTCATCAAGTCTTCTAAATCAGGCAACTGGAGCAAAACAAAAAAGAAAAGTGAGCTAGGGGTCATGCACCACTCTTAGGCCACAGTCCTCATCAGCCCTAATGGAATGTCCGGTCAACCAAAAAGAACCCGGGAGCCCCTTGTTTGGTTTTTTTATCTCAGCTGCTCAAGACAGCTGTTGAACTTGATACCAAAGCCACGATCAGAATGAACCTAACGAAGGGGAGGCCCAAGGTTCTTAGCAGTTGAACCAGCTGGTTACAAAGCTTAATGAAACAAAAGACTTGGTACCAAACACTACCTCTTTTTTGGGGCAAGAAAAGGCAATTCTTCCAAAAGCTGCTGCGTGATCAACTGTACCATTGATGCACTGTAGCTCCAGTTTACACTGAAAAATAACAAAGTGGGTTTTATTTTTTAGAACAGATTATGTGGTTAAAAAAAAAATTAAGAGTACTAAGGAATAAAGTAAAAATTAAGTCTCCCTCCTACTCTCACTCCAGAGGCATACTCAGCAGTTGCCTCTATTTGTACACATGGGCATGCACATTTCTTTTCTTTTTACACAAATGGCAGCATAATTTACACATTATTCTGTCCTTTGCTTTTCTCCAATTAATGTTACCATGTCAGCACGTAAAGACGTACTTCATTCTTTTCGATAGCTGTATAGTCATCCACTGGACTAATGCATTGAACTGTTCTGCTAATCCATAGGACATTCATTTTTTTTCTACAATTTTTAAAATTTATTTTTAGAGAGGAGAAGGGAGAGAGAGAGAACGGGAAAGAAACATCAATGTGTGGTTGCATCTCACACGCCCCCTATTCGGGACCTGGCCTACAACCCAGGCACGTGCCCTAGACTAGGAATCGAACCAGCAACCCTTTAGTTTGCAGGCTGGCACTCAATCCACTGAGCCATGCCAGCCAGGGCTCTTCTTTTAAAGATTTTACTTATTTACTTTTAGAGAGAGGGGAAGGGAGGGAGAAGGAGACGGAAAGAAACATCAATGTGTGAGAGATACATCACTCAGTTGCCTCTCACACGCCCCCAAGTGGGGACCTCACCCACACCCAGGCATGTGCCCTGAGAGGAAATCAAACTGGTGACCTTTTGGTTCACAGGCCAGCACTCAATCCACTGTGCCACATCAGCCAGGGCTAAATTATTTCTTATATTTTGCTATTACAAACAATGTTGCAACCAATAACGGTACACAGTTCTTTATGAACATGTATGATGAGTATGTAAAATAAATTCCTAGGAAGAGACCTGCTGGGTCAAAGTTCAAGGACTAAATCAAGCTCAAATGCTGGGTTATTTTTTAAAGGAAAAAGATACATTATCTTTACAGTATTAAGTCTTGTCTACATCTGGCCAGACGCCAAACTCTAGGCCTACCGGCGGGAGCGTAAGAGGCTAAGAATTTCTTTCAGAGGTATCTTTGAGCTCGCTGAACAGACACTATGAGCAAAGCTCACCCTTCTGAGCTAAAAAAACTTATGGACAAGAAGTTATCATTGAAATTAAATGGTGGCAGGCATGTCCAAGGAATATTGCAGGGATTCGACCCCTTTATGAACCTTGTGATAGATGAATGTGTGGAGATGGCAACAAGTGGGCAATAGAACAATACTGGAATGGTGGTAATACGAGGCAACAGTATCATCATGTTAGAAGCCTTGGAACGAGTATAAAGAATGGACGTGTTCACCAGAGAAATCAGCGTGCTTCTACGTCCCCTCTCCACAACCCCTGTTTTACTACAACATAAAAATCGAGTCTTGTACATTTTCACATTGAACTTTTGTTAAATAAACTTCTCTACTGGTCAAAAAAAAAAAAAAAAAAAAAAAGTCTTGTCTACATCTCTTCCAACTCAGCAATTTCATCCCTGAAAGGACTGAGCCCCAAGTATCTATGTGGTAAGGTTATCAGCAATTTTTTTTTTCATTCTCTTTATCACTGTGGAGAAATTAAGGGAACAAGCTTCATATTAACCTCATTTATAAGCCAAACTCAAAGTAACAGATTATTTCTCTCCAAGGTCACTCACCTGGTTATCAGCATAGCCCAGCAAAGCCCTTTGCTTCTCTTCATCTTGTTCATAAATTTTCATTCCCAGTAGATTAGACCAGTAGTTCAAGGACTTCTGAAGATCAGACACTGCTAGAGTTACTTTTAACACAGGGTCTGCAGGGGAATAAAACGGCGGCAATGATAGGTCAGTGCAATGGAGCAGAACAGAAAAACCAAAACTGGCTCCAGAAAATATAGGAATTTGTGATAAGAAAGGGATTTTATGTCCATACAAAAGGGTACATTATTCAATAACTTAGTGGGAAAAAGTCACACCTTTAAACTAAATGGCAAAATGCATTCCTGTTGGGTTAAAGGATTAAGTTTAAAGAATTAAACCATAAAAAAACTAGAAACAGGTAATTGTTTATACAATTTTGGGGTGGAGACTTTATTAAACCTGACACAAGATACAAAAACCATGAAGTAAAAATTGCTAGGTTATTACCTGAAATGGAAAATTCCTAGGCAACAAAAAACAAAAAAGTTGCAAGCAAAAGTAAAGCCCTGGCTGGGTAGCTCAGTTGGTTAGAGTGTCATCCCAATACGCCAAGGTTGTGAGTTCAATTCCTGGTCAAGCCACATAAAAGAACCAATGAATGCATAAATGAGTGGAAAAACAAGTCAATGTTTCTCTCCCTCTCTTTAAAATCAATAAATTTAAAAAAATTAAAGAGTAAACAACAAAGTAAGAAACATTTTTTTGCAGTGTATTTGACACAAAGTCCTTATTAGTTAAATCACCTTTAAGCATTAAGAGGGAAAAGATGAATATCCTAGAAAAACAGGCAAAAGACACAAAATTGGAATGGTCCGTGAACATATGGAAAACATTCGACTTCACAAGGAAAGAAATTAGAATTCAAGTAAGACATTTTGTTATCTAATTGGCAAATAATTTTAGAAGTTGGCAGCACTGACGGTGGTAGCGTGAGGGGAAAATCACCGTCACGCAACACGGGGAGCGCGTGAACTGGCTCGCTTCTGGGGAACGATCTGACAAAACATACTGAAAGCCTAAAACATGTACACTGCTTCTAAAAGAGCAGCCCCGCTTTCAGCAATTAAAGACGTAATTGTGGCTGTTTGAGGGGCTGTCAGCACAAAGGCATTCATCACAGCGCTGCTCCACGTGGTGAAAAGCGAGGGATAACATAAATACCCAACAATAGAGCATTGTTTATCTTCCTGTGGTGCAATACAATGGAATCCTTCCAATGGAATGGGAATTAAAAATATATTTATTTAATTATATACTTATTTTTTGATAAAGGATTGGAAAGCTATATGCTAAAATGTTAACAGTGGTTATCTCTGCATATACGGGTAGTGGGTTTTTTCTTCTTTTTAGTTGTATTAAAACACCATTCCTGGAAACTTTTATATTGTAAAGTGAGTTTCTGAAGTCCCATTCCAAATCTACGTCTGACTGTGATAAATTCAATACATTTCCTTCCACTTTCATGCCTCGGCCCACTGGCTGGAGCATCAGCATCACGGCCTATGGCAAGGAGTTTCCCAGGGGCCTCGGCCTCGCGGGCTGTTACAGTTTTCCTGTTCTCTGAGGAATCCACAAATTCTGGCTGCCTCCGGAGGTGTGCAGGGGCAGGGAAAGGACCACGGCGGTGAGGCTACAGGCCAAGTGAGTGAGTCTAGGAAGGGGGGACATGAGCTAGACTGATAGACCTGACTCTGCTATCAATCAGAAATTAATGCCCTAAAGGTACTATCATCCCAAAGGACAGTATCATCTTAGGATTGTGGGGCTTGCCATTATCTTACATATTGACACATCAAGATTAGGGGAAAAAATGTACAGTGCAATTAGTGACAGCAGTTAAGTTTTAAAGTTAGTGTATAAAGCAACAATCACTTATCAGTAAAAAGTCATCATATAAATCCCTTAAATGATTAAGTACAGAAATACCATCTCCCAGTGAGTCCCAGAGCAGCAGCCGAACCTCCCACCCTGGAACACATCACTTTCTTCTGCTGAGCTCCAGGGGAAAAGCATTCAACACAACAACCAGACTCAGCATGAGGGATTCTGGGACGTGAGGCTGACCAGTGGAGGAAAGAGGAGTATGTCTCGCACAGGCCCACTCAGGGGCATGAGTGAATGGCAGGCGGAACTGCCCTTGCCATTCTCCAGTATTTTTTGCTTTGGGCAGAGCAGGTAGCGGCATTTGCAGGAATGAAATACACTATGACAAGGATGCCCCTGCAGTATACACATCGCGCAGGTTCCTTCCTGCTCCCTGTGCAGTCAGTGAGGCAAGCGGCTCCTCACTTCCGTCCTCCCTCACTCGCTGAGCACCAGCGTCATAGTTTGGGAAACTGATGTCTGCTGGACAACAGACTAACTGGCCTAAGGATAATTCTATTTCTCCTGCCAGTGTTTGGTTCACGAGCAGGCACATGAATCATATCTGACCAGGAAGTCGGCTGAAAGATTCTGGGCAAGTTTTGCTCTGCTCTTTGAAAAGAGCAACAGGAAGTCAGTCGTCTCTCCCTCCCCCACCAGAAGAGAACGTGGGAGCACGAAGCTGCAACTGCTACTGGCAGCCACCTACCACGACGAGGGGCGCTGGCTCTGGGAGAAGCGGGCCCCTGTGGACAAGGGAATGGAGAGAGACAGCAAATTTCAGTTCTTGATGCCATTTGTGAGCTGCTGAATCAACTAATGCTGAAATCTTTCCTACTTATAGAATGCCTGTTTTGTGAGCCAAAACATTTTCTTACTGTTCAAGCTAGTTTGAATTGGGTTTTGTTATTCACAGCTGAAAGTATCCTAAACAGCTACATTACCAGTAGAACAAAACCAGTCTGGAGCCCCTATAATTATGAAGATTTCATAAAAGAATATAATTTCTCAGAAAACAAATAACAACACTGGCGTGGGAAAGACTCCACAGGACAAAGAAGTCCAGCTCCCTCGCACCTTCCATCAAAGACACCTTCAGACAAGAGGGTTTTTATTAGTATAATTACCTGACTGAGGCGCACTTCGATCCTGCAGATAGAACTTATATCCTCCTGGGGCCTCGGTTTCAAAAACACCTTCTGCGACTTCACTGAGCGGCCACTCCAGCTTCCTGGCATTGCTGACAGCCTGGCTAGAAGCGAGTGTGATACCCTATGACGAACAGCAATATCATCCAAGTGGGTAACTACGACAGAGCTTTTATGGAACGATATAATGGGACAAAGCCCCATCACCTTTACATTGTGGATAAAAAAGGGTACGTACAAGTTCAGTGACTGAAAGTAACTCCACAGGGTGATCTGGGTTAGTCATGGTGGGCAGTCATGCCTGCGGCCTATAATGTCTTTAGTAAAAGTTTAAAAGCCAGCCCTGTGCACTGTTCTTGCGCATCTAGGTTAATACCTTCGAACGCCAGAAGCAATCCTCTTTTCTAGACCCCTGGGAGGTGTAACCGCCCTCATGGGGGCACATAATCTTGTTAATTGTTAATCTACCTTCCATTCCTTCCTTAGTTCCAGATGCATAAAAGAAAGAGTAACACTCATTCTTCAGAGCATTTGAAATCTTGTTTCCTGAAAACATAGTCAGTTTGGCTCAAATAAACTCATAAACATTCTCTGCAGGTTGGGACGTTTTTTAGGTTGACAATGTCAAACCACCTAAGAATTAACTGGCATTCAAAATATCCTCCTAGTGATTTTAAAGTAGGTTTTGGACATTTTTCTTCTACACAGATTCCAAACTTCGTGAATTGCAGGGCTGAAATTCAAATGCCATTCAACTGAAACCAAAGGTAATCTCTCCTAATTTTAAAGATCCAGTGAAAGAAATTTCTTTTTGCTTTTTTAAACAGAAAATTTATACCAGCTATGAAGGCATCTTTTAATTTAAATGTAATCAAAATACCTAAAAATGCCCACTTACGCCATCTGATAAGGCTAGCCTCATTTCCAGCTTGGTCACGGCAACAGCCTCGTTCTCTGCCCAGGGCCTTATCAATCCACCAGCCACTCTGCAGCCAGAGTGGACATTCTAAAACACACCCTAGAGCCTGTTCTCAAGAGAGCAAATCCCAGGTCATTTTTCCTCTGCCTAAAATCCTTGATGGCTTTTCATTTCACTCAGGGATGGCTCATAATGGCCTGAGAGGCCCAACACAATCTGCCCCATGTCTGACCCTGCCTCCTCCCATTACCACCCCGCCCTCTCTGTGCCAGCCACACTGGCCTCCCTGCATTGTCTTGACCATGGCAGGTGCCGTTTGGTGGCTTTGTACAGGCTATTCCCCCTCCTGTAGTGCTCTTCCCCAAGGTACCCACACGGCTGACTCCCTTGTCTCCTTGAGCCTTTGCTCAAATGTCAGCTCCTCAAGGACACCTTCCCTTGCTCAACACCCTCCTCAAATTTTTTTTTAAATTGTATTTATTTATTTTTAGAGAGAGGGGGAGGGAGAGAGAAAGAGAGGGAGAGAAACATCAATGTGCGGTTGCCTCTCATGAGCCCCCCACCGGGGACTGGGCCTGCAACGCAGGCATGTGCCCTGACTGGGAATTGAACCAGTGACCTTTTGGTTTGCAGGCCGGTGCTCAATTCACTGAGCCACATTATCCAGGGCCCCTCCTCAAAATTAAGACCAGTCATCTGCTCTATACTCCCAAGTCCCCTTATTCTGCTCTGTTCTTTCCCCATAACAATGATCACATTTAAAATAACATATTATATGATTCATAATTTAGTCTATTTATTAGTTTTGTCTGTCAGGCTCTTAACTCCCTCCCCTGCCAGACATAGATTTTTGAGTTTTGTTCACTGGTTATCCAGAGTTCCTTGAGCAGTGCCTGGTACATAGCAGGCACTCAATAAATATTTGTTACATGAATAATTACTGTAATAAATAAATTAATACATAGGTCAAGCCCTGGCTAGTGTGGCATAGTGGATGGGGCACCAGCGTGCAAACCAAAAGGTCAATTCCCAGTCAGGGCACATGCCTGGGTTGCAGGCCAGGTCCCCAGCTGGGGACGTCTGAGAGGCGACTGCTCTATGCATGTCTCACACATTGATGTTTCTCTCCCTCCCTTCCCCTCTCTCTAAAAATAAAAATCTTTTTTAAAAAATGCATAGGTCATTCCACATATTTGTCAATATACTATATGTAAACTAAATTCCTAGATGTGAAATTAAAGGTCAAAGAATGAATGCATTATTTCGATACCGCTGAGCTGAGGGCGCACCGATTCACACTCCTATTAGCAACGGTAGAGCGGCGCCCGTCCGACACCCTCGCGCCCTCGGCGGGCGCTCACGCCTCGCTTCGCCGGTCTGAGAGGTGACCAGCGGCGGTGTGGAAGTCGAACATCTTTGTCGATATTTAAGAGACATTTCTAATTCCTTTTCTGTGAACTATCTGTTCACAGTTTTTGCCCTTTTAAAAAAAATCATTATGTGGCCGATCCTTTTCTTTTTAATGAACAGGAGTCCTTTATACACATGGGAGTTCTAATTGACCTGCTTTCTTTTTTTGTTCCACGAACTGGGAAGCGCAGAAGCAACCTTCCTTCGTCGGGCCTTCTGGGGCGCCACGGACGGCTGCTCCCTCCACCCACACGGGCCCGAGCACGGGACTTGAGCCACGTAAATGACGATGGCACCATGACGGGTTTGCTCTTTTTTCTTTCCCTGATTTAATTTTGGAGAGTAAAGAAAAGACCAGGAGAAGCACAAAGGAACTCTCGCATACACCCCGTCACCAAACCGTACCAACCCCACCTCCTCAACATCTCTCAGATCCATCCGCTTCTCTCCAGCGCCCACTACCGGGCCAGCGCAGGAACTGCAGGTCACTTGCCGTATCCTGTGAGCTAGCTTCACACTTGAGTCTTGCTGCCTTTCAGCCCAGATGCCGTGCCCTAGCCCGCTGCATTCTTCTTGCACACCACACACACTATGGCATTCTCCTGCTTACAAATGGCTTCGCTCTGCTTTCAGAATAAAGTCTAAAATGCATCTTACTGTGCTTGCTTGATGTGGCCCCAGCTTGCTTCTTCAGCCCCAACTCTACCCACTCCCTTCTTCACACACTAAGCTCCAGTCAGACTGCGCTACTCACAGTCCTGAGTGACACGGTCCCTCTCGCCTCGGGGTCAGTGCCCGTGCTCTGGACACTCTCCTCATCCTCCCTCCCAACTCCACTCACTGGGCTCGGATGCCACCCCTGGAAAGCTTTTCCTGAACTCTCACCTCTCCAGGAACAGGCTGGGGATTACTCCCGTGTGTTCCCGCTTCCCCCTATTCTTATCCCAATCTTAGCACTTATCACAGTGTATTCTTGTTGTGCCTTCACTGGTTCCCCCCACCACGCAGGAAGCTCCTCAGGCCAGGGAACGTGCTTAACGCTCCAGTGTTAACACTGGCCTAACAAGGTACATGGCATATAGTAAGTCACAATAGTATCTGTTAAATGAATAAATCAATGGAGACACGAAGAGAGAAAAGAAAAAAACAAATAAATATGTTGAATCTGAGCAGTCCTTTCCATTTACAAACACTTTATAGACATTTGATTCTCAAAAAAACTTCCATCTAGATAGCATTATTTTAATATAACAGTAATACTGAGATCAAATGAGGTAGATTTGCTCAGTATATTCTGGGTAAAAAATTAGTTACTCCTATCCTGCTACGTATCTGGTCCGAGTGGTATTCTATTTAGCAGAGGGTGACTGCTTAATAAATGATTGATACTATTACTCCAACAGGTGCACGGTAACCGGAATTTCTGAATGAATAAATACGTTCTTCTCTTTACCCTTAAAACCCTCTCAGAATCTTCTCTGACTAGCACCGGCTATAGTAGCCCAGACCAATCTAACGGGCCACTCCAGGGAGAATGTTTCTCTGGATGGCGATCAGGACCTGACCAGACCAATGACGCTGGCCCTTTAGCTCTCAAGGCGCATCAGTTCTCGGGGGGGGGGGGGGGGGGTTCTGTCTCCTTCGAAGATGTCTCTAAGTCTTGAGTTTGATTCCAAAACATGGGAAGAACACACTTCATCCTGAAGCCAGGGTACCCAAGCAGTTTTGTTTTAAATAGAAAACATCATTAAACTAATCACTAAACTACTCCAAAAGGCCATCAATTCAGCAGTTATCATAGCTAAACCTGTATCAGTGATCTCAATAGACGGTGTAGCCAGAAGTCTAAAACAAAATGATACTTACCATAAAGTCATTGCCAAGCTTGTAGTCTCCGATGCCATAATTGTAAGTCAGTTCTGCAACAAAATGATCATCCTCAGGTCCAAATCCCACCATTGTTTTACTCCATCTCCCATCATAAGGCCTAGAAAAAGGAAAGTAAATGAACCCAGTGACCTCAGACAAAATCTGCGCCTGGCCTCGCCCAAAGAACTATTGGAACAGAGGTGTGGGCAAGCCCCTTCTGGTCCTCTAAGTGCCCACAAAGACGAGATGGCCTCAGCTGGTGCTAAGAGCAGCTGGGGACAGTGCTCACGGGCCCCGTCACCTAAGGCCCCAAAGACTGGCACTTCCTTGAGGAAAGGATTCATTTACTTATTCTCTAAAGTAGGGGACAGAATGCTGTAAAGGCAGTCCTCCAAGCTGACCTTAACTTATTTATTTGCATATCCATCAACAAGCATGTAAGTCCCACCAGGCTTTGGAGTTTTCCAGCTTGTCATGGCTACTAAGCTTAAGAGATACTCGGTAAGACATTGTTTCACCCACAGCATACAATTATTTGTGTTCCTGAAGCTGCCCAATTTATTGCCTCCTTAATTTATTCCACCTTGAGGAACTGCTTTGTGTTCTCCAGGGGTTTTCAGATCCTAAAGGAGATTTTAAGAAACAAGGTGTCATACCCATTGCAGGCAGCTTTGCAGCCTTCTTCAAACTCCTCATGCCGCAGAATCTGCTCAGGGAATCAGAATAAATTGTTAAGTTTTACTAGTACTACATGCAGCATGCTCAGCAAAAACTAAAATAATCAACACACAGACATTATCATTTGTAAGCTTTACTTGTAAAACAAACAGAAGATAATAAGCTTTATAGCTTCCCCAGGCTGAAAGTAGCAGAGGCGAGGAAGGAAGAACACCTTGACACCAAGAGCCAGGCAACCAAGCAAAGTCGTGAAATCTATTGAGACTGGGAAGCAGTGCTATGTAAGCAAAAAAAAAAAGTGGCCTTCGGCATTAGAGAAGCCTGGTTTGAAATTCTGGCTGTCACTCAGTAGCTGGGTAACACTGAGACTGTTCTTCAGATCTGGGTCTCCTAATATGTTGTGAACATGGATAATTTATTACAGCGCAGAACCTAGTACACAGTAGGCTATCGACGTGTTAAGGTCTATTTTCTCTTTTTGATTCTCACTACCACTGCTCCTGTTCAGGCTCCTAACACTTCTCTTACAGGCTATTAAAGACCATATTTAGAGCTCTTTCTTTTTGCCTCCTTGCATCGGAGAGAACAAGATGGGTCACCAGCAACTCTACTGGGGCCGTCCAAGAAATTTCAGCCAGGGTTCTTGTTTTTGCCGCGTATGCTCAAACCCGCACACATGGTCTGATCTGGAAATATGGCCCCAATATGTTAACACCTGTGTTTCCATTAGCACGTGAAGGACTTAGGCTTCATGAGTTGGATAAAGTGAACTTCTATAAGTGGGTCATTCAAGACATTTACCTTACCGCAGAATGCAAGCTCTTTGTACGTAAAATTTTTTAAAAATTCAATTAAAAATCATAGTTATTGATCTCCATTAATACCACTGCGGAGAAAAAAAAGGGGCTCTGTACTAAATCTGACAAGACCAGTGACTGAAGGGAACCTCACAGGTGACCTGATCATAAATTTCTAACTGGGCAGGTCATGGTGGGTAGTCTTGTCCTCGGCAAATAACTTCTTTAGTAAAAAGTTTATCTTTGCCTTAAACAAGCCCTGTCCATTGTTTCTGTGCATCTAGGTTAACAGACCTTTAAAATGCCTCCTTTTCAGATCCTTCAGAAGCATGACCATCTTCAAGAGAGCACACGATCTTGTTAAGTATGCTGTAATCCAATCCCCCAGCTTGTTTTCTCCCATCTTCATTTAATCTTCCTTACATTCCCTCCTTTAACTGCGAAACTGCCATTCTCTGGAGCCATTGAGATCTTCCTTCCCAGTATTGTGTCAGTTTGGCTCAAATAAATTCTTATAATAAAAATTCCCTACAGGTCTGGACGTTTCTTACATCAACACCACCATAAAATTAGGTCTGTAAAGCACAGCTCTGATCATATCAGTGCCCTGTTCCAAACTGCAAGAGAGCTCCCTACTCACAGCGGCACAGAATCTAAATTCCTCAGCATAGAATTCAAGACACTACCAGGAGCAGTTCCAACCTATCTGCACTGACATCCCACCTCCTTAACTTGAACTAATTAGTCCAAGCTAAAGGCAGAGAAAACTAGCAGTATTTCCAAAACATCCCTAATTCTTGCACTGGCTCTTTAGTTTTCCTAATATACTACTCCCTCTCATCATGGTCTGTGGAAATCCTCTCTTTAGATGTCAACTCAAATGCAAAGTCTCCATGAATTATTTCTTGACCACTCCAGGTTGGAGTTAAGTCTCTCCTACTGTTGTGCTTGATAATAGCAGATAACATTTACACATTAAAGGAGAGCTTTGTGATTTTCTTTTTTCCTCCTTCTTTTTTGGCTTATAACCAACAACAGTTTATTTATTACAGTTTCAAAGGCTGAAAGTCTAAGCTCATGGTGTTGGCAGATTTGGTGTTTGGAGAAGGCCCACTTCCTAGTACATATATGATACTTTCTCAAGCTTTGTGGTGTTCTATCCCTTACCAAATTTCTACTTCCGTCACTGTTAGCTTTGTACAAATCCAATTCCTAACCCACCCCATTCTGGGCCAGCTTTTATCGAGGTTTTCTTCATCTTTCTTACCAAATCTCAGCATAGCACAGTGAAACTGGACAACATACATGCACCCCACGTCTTCTGCACTCTCTATATTAAACTGCACTCTTGTACCTCTAAAGTCCTTGCTCCCCAAAAGCTTCCGCTTGTTTGTAACCCAATGACCCATGCAAAGTTATAGCTGCTCAGGGCTGCAGAGAGGCTGCTTCCGGGTGTTGGAGAGGAAACTGTGATCGGACTTCACTCCTAGATCTGGACTGTTGAGACGAGAGTCGGAGCGCTCACCCAGAAGCTGAGCACCCAAGAGGCTATTCAAACCATCCCTGAGAAACAGAGCTCTGAATATGCTGATTATCTAAACTGAAAGGCTCCAAACCCAAAGAGGCTAAGTTACTGGTTGCTGGGATTTCTGTTTATTTACTGGCTTTCCCATGAGACTAGAAGCTCCACAATGGCAAGAGCTCAATATACGAATTATAGTTGTGAATGAATTTAAATGAAAGCACGTGTGTGAGCACAGTCGGCGGCTAATAAGCGTGCGTCCCCTTTTAAAGGCCATCTAACCCAAGCAGGACTCAAAACTCTTCCTGAAGCTGAAAGCCCGAGAGCTAACGGGAGGCTCGGACACCTGGGTTCTGCCTGAAACTCGTTTCTCTCCTCTCTCGGCCCCGTCTGGCTCAGCCACCCGTGCCACCCTCGCGCGCCTGTCCCCCTCGGCCCCGCCCACCTTCATCCCCAGGACATCACGATAGAAACGCGCAGTCTGGAAGCGGTTCCCCACTTTAAATACGAAGTGCAGAGCTCGGCGAGTCGCCATGACCACTAGCTCCACGCACCAGTCGCGCTAACAGGAACACACCGCCCACAGATGACGAAGACGGCCCAATGACGTCCGTGGCCGCCGCCGGCGCACTTTGGTGACGCAGCCCAAGGCGCTGGGGAAGATGGCTAACCTGGTGAAGGGCGTGCGGTGGCCCACGCGACCGTTGCTGCCGGTGGTCCAGACGTGGGACCTGGACGCCCGGCGCTGGGTCCGGGCGCTGCGGCGGAGCCCTGTGAAAGTGTTTCCATCGGGGCAGGTGGCGGAAGGGAAGCCGGGCGCTGGGAAGCAGCCCCGGAAGGTGACGGCTGAGGGCAGCCCCCACGCGCCGCGCCAGCAGCAGCCGCCTCCGGCGCCCCCATTCCAGAAACCCAGCACTTGGGAAGAGTCGGGGCTTCGCTACGATAAGGCTTTCCCCGGGGACAAAAGGCTGAGGTGATGTGTTCCTACAGCTTGTGGGGTAGTCCTGTTTCTCTTTCCGCCTCACAGCGGGACCTTAACCTCTGGACTTATTCCAGTACCACCCGCTGGTTTTTATTCTGCACGGAGGGCAGAATAAGTCTCTCTCGGAATAAGTTTGTTTCTGGCTCCGTGAAGGTCTCTGTGTCTGTTAGAATTAGGTGTATCTCTGCCTCCGGGATGTTTGGTAATGACCAGTCTTTTTGTTTCCACCTACAGCAGTGTAATGACAATAGTTAAGTCCAGGCCGTTTCGGGAAAAGCAAGGGAAGATTCTGCTGGAAGGTCGCAGGCTGATTGCAGATGCTCTCAAGGCTGGTGCTGTGCCAAAAGTTTTCTTCTTTAGCCGTCTCGAGTACCTGAAGGAGCTGCCCATCGATAAGCTGAAAGGTGTCAGCCTCATTAAGGTGAAATTTGAGGATATCAAGGATTGGTCCGACCTAGTAACACCACAAGGAATAATGGGTCAGTGGTTATACAATGCGTCACTAGAACTGGAGAACTGGGATTATTTGTTTACACTTGTCTTAGGGTAACAGATTTTATTTAAATCAAATTCAAAATGTTATTGCCTAACCTTTACTTAAGATACCCAGAAAAATATAGTTCTCAAATCTTATATAAATCATGCATCTTACAGTGTTTTTAGTGGAAACTGGAGCCAGTGTTTTGTCATCATTTGTATTCTGGCTCTTTATTCCTCACACCTTATTTATTTATTTTTAGATCACTTCTTCAACCTTTAGTGTCCAAGTAAAAATTAAGATGTTTATCAAAAGATTCAGCTGTCCATTTCCAGAAAATCTTTGCCAGTGTGGCAATACTATTATTGACTCCCTTTTTCTAGAAGTAGATCTGAGTAGTAAACTGCAATTTATTGCCCTGTTTAGGAGAAATAGATCAGCTCTCACACTACCTGTCAGACTTCTAAAATCCAGTAATGTATGTGGGGTCTCTAGAAGTAGTGAGTGCTCATTATTACAGCAGCTCCGGTAGAAGTTAAAGGGTTTCTAAGGTTCCCTACCCCACTGAATGCCCCGGTGGCTGTCTGTGACTAGTACAGGATCCTTTTACAGCACACAGATGCCTGGTACCGTTCCACTGCCTTCACTGATAGGGTAGGTACAGGCATTTGCGTGTTCTCGGTGTGAATAAACTGGAATAGCCTGTGGGGAGGGCAGTTTGGCAGCATCCAGTTAACATTAATAGTGCACACACGCTATTCATTTCACTTGTAGGTGTTTTTCCTGGGGGAATATTTGGACATTTGCACAAAGAGTGATACAGGGTTGTTTATAGCAAGGTTGTTTATAATAGGTGAAACTGAAAATAGTCTAAATGTCAGTCAGTTGAGGAAGAGTTAAATAAATGTGGTACATTTAAGTTACAAAGTAACATGCAGTTAAAGGAATAAGGTAGCTCCGAATGTATTGACATGTTAAATTCTCCAAGACATGTTATAGAGTTAGGTAAGTAAATTACAGAATAAGACAGAGCAGAATTTCTTTTTGTGTAAAAGAATAAAAGCACCAGGATATGGGTAGATGTTACATATATGTAGGTAGCTACATGGAACAAGTTCTAAAAGAACAGGATACATTCCAAGATTGAAAGCAGTATGTGGGGGACCACTGGTGGAACCTTATGTTCTAAGTCTCCCAATCAGACTGTATTCATGTGATTAAGAATATAGAAAGTGACCAGTAAATTAAAAGCCAAATTAGTCCCCACGACCACGTTAGAGAAGTGAACTGCCTATTGTATTTCTTCAGGGATTTTTGCCAAACCTGACCATGTTAAGATGACATTCCCAGAGACTCAGCTTCACTGTTCACTGCCCTTATTGTTGATTTGTGACAATCTCCGTGACCCTGGGAACCTGGGGACGATTCTGAGGTCTGCTGCTGGGGCAGGCTGCAGCAAAGTATTACTCACCAAAGGTAAGACACATGTGACGGGGTAGACTGGGCGGCCGTTTGTAAGTGAGCTGGCTTTGTGGGCAGACACACATGGATTTGAATCTTGGATGTGCCCCCTATTAGCTACACGTCTGTGAGCAATATTTTGAGTGTTAGTTTCCTCATCTGTAAAGTGGATATAACAATCTATTTGGTAGGATTTTGAGGACTAAGTGATATCATGCACGTAAAGTACTTAGCGCTGTACCTTGCACATAGTAATTCAGTAAATGTTGATTATCTGTTATTTTTACACCTGCTAGGTTATTAGAGAACTTAAAATCAATCAGGAAAAGAAATAGCCAGTTTTAACACTTGGTTTCAAGTTTTTTATTTAATGATCTTGAATTCCCAGATTGCTGGGTATATGGTACTTTTCTAACTCTTTGATATTCTGAATCCTGTGAAAGGTATGATTACAACAGAGTGCAATTATGAAATTGCGATGTTTTCCTTAGCCTTGGAAGTCAAACACCTCCCCACTCAAATTAGCCTCATTACATTTCTTTTCCGTCTCCTCTCATTAGAAATAGGAATTAGTAAGCTTGGTTCTAAACAGATTTGCCTAACAGTTGGGACAAGCCTAAAATGCCTGTTACACCTTAAGGGGAGGGCAGGAGGGAGGGCGTCATTCATTAGCAGCACTCAAGCTGCCTGTCAGTGTAAACTAGCATCAACACCCATTGCTGAGACTTGCCTAAATTGCTCCTTTTAACTCTTTGCCCAGCCACACCCTGTTAGATGACACTTCTCGGCCATTGTGAGAGCTAGGTGCCAGGGTTCTGTCAGCCGTACCCGCTTGCTGCCCCGCTGTTGAGAGCGCTGGGAGCAGGTGTGCCTGTGTGATCCAAGCGGCGTGGCTTTCACAACGACGCTGGCGGCTGGTGCATAAAAGCTGGGGAAAGAGTGGGGAGCACTCGGTGTGGTGCCCCCTGCTGAGGACGTGAGGATGAGGGGAATCTCCTCTTGCCCTGTACTCCCTGCCAAGGAGAGGGGTCACACTAAGACGGCTCTTCTTAGGAGTCTGGGCCGCTTTTTTAAAATAACTTGTAACAAGGAGACTTGTGTTAACCAGTCAGGGGAAGAGTATATTTGGGTGTCCTGGTCCTGCTCTCTCTCCTATCCTGTGGTCCTGGGACAGGCGCGGTGTCTGCCAGCGCAGGGAAGTGGCTGGGCTTAGCTACACCTGCACACGGGAGAGGAGCTCTTCTAGTCTTCTCACGGGAACAGGAGGCGTGGGTGTGAGCGGCAAGGCTGTGCCCTGCATCGCTGTAATTCCCTCCCATCTCATTTCCCCGTCTCCCCAGCACCTTCGCTGCCCCAATCCAGGTTCAACATTGAAGCCAAGTGGGTCCTTCTAAAACGTAAACCAGATTCTGTTGCTCCTTTGTTTTAAAATACTTCAATGTCATAATATCGTCCTCTGGGTAAAATCCTAAACAACTCATACCCAGTATCCCCATTTTCCTTTAAATCGGTCCTCGCCTACCTCCCATCTTACCTCCCACCACACGGGTGGGTTTTCCTGATTCAGCGACCTTACAGTTCTCAGACTGTGGCGCTCGTCCCCCTTGTGACTTTGTCCTCTGCCTGGGCCTTTCTCTAACAAGATCCTCCTGTCCTTCAAGATCCAGCTCCATGTCATGTTCTGTGGGATTTTTTTCCTGATAGTCCTCCTTTGTACAAGGGTTTCCTGTTACCCTGCTCATGCTGTTTCTGTGCCGTGAGCTCCCTGAGGTTGGGGACTTGAATGCTCTTTGCAGTCCCATACAATGCCTGGTAGACGTGTATATTAAATGTTGAAGGGACGAGTAAAACCTGTTTCAGCACCAGCAGGAATTCCTCCTGCAGTCCCTTTGCTGGACATCACCGTAATGGGGGAGGCGGAGGTGCCAGCGATCAAGGAGGCCAAGTAGGACATTTTTTGCTTTACCTCCTGATCACCAATAAGATGATTTACTCCATAATCCCCTCATCTGGAAAGGTTTGTAATTTTTTTTAAATTTTTATTTATCAGTTTTAGAGAGAGAGAGAGAGGAAGGGCGGGAGAAACATCAATTTGTTGTTCCACTCATTGATGCATTCATTGGTTGATTGTTATATGTGTCCTGACTAGGGGTCAAAACCACAATCTTGGCGTATCAGGACGATGCACTAACCAGCTGGGCTCCCCGGCCAGGGTAGAAGGTTTGTAATCTTATGTGGATCCTATCTTTTCTTTTCTAGGCTGTGTGGATGCCTGGGAGCCCAAAGTGCTGCGGGCAGGTATGGGTGCGCATTTCCAGGTGCCCATCATCAACAACCTGGACTGGGAATCAGTACCCAATTACTTACCTGCCGATACCCGTGTCTACGTGGCCGACAACTGTGGCTTCTATGCCCAGGCCCAGATATCTACGAGAGCCAGTGACCATGGCTGGATATGTGACCGACAACTCTCGAAGTTGCACAAATATGAGGAAGAGGAGGAGGAGGATCTAGAAACCACAGCCAGTAAAGGCTGGCTCCCTGAACTTGAGGTCCAGAGTTACGACTTGGACTGGACAGAGGCACCAGCAGCTCTGGTCATAGGCGGGGAGACCCATGGCGTGAGCCTGGAGTCCCTGCAGCTGGCCGAGAGCACCGGGGGCAAGAGGCTGCTGATCCCTGTCGTGCCTGGCGTGGACAGCCTGAACTCGGCCATGGCTGCCAGCATCCTGCTTTTCGAAGGGAAAAGACAACTGCGGTTAAAGGCAGAACACTTGGTCAGAGACAGGAGTTGCCACTGAGAGGGGACGTGGAAGTCACCCTTGGTGTGAGGTAGTCTGCAGTTCCTCCTACCGAATTAGTAATTGTGGCTTCCCAGCAGGTAGGCACGATGCTGTTGGTTACTGGGGAAAAAAAAGAATTTCCCTGCATTTCTGCCTATTCTCAAACATAAGGAAGGTCTGAATTCTTCCTGAGATCACCCACCTCCCCCGATGTCTTGTGTGTGAAGGCCCCAGGTGACGGCATTCAGGAGCCAGCTGTTCCTTCGGCCTGGCCGGGTCCGTCTCTGCAGCTGTTTGGTCAGGCCCTGGCTTACACAGCCGGTGTGTGTGTACACCGGCTATTCACTCATTTTCTGGACACGTTTGGTTACATGTTAATGACTGGAGTGAGTTACTTACATTAAGCTTCTCCCCTGCGTAGAGGAACAGAACTGGTTAGGAAAATGCCAGCATTCCTGGCGGCTGTGTACAGAGGGTCCTGCAAAAGGGGGAAAGGCTGAGGTTCTGGGGATGTGTACCTGGGACTTTTGGGCCCACAGCAGTCCAGCAAGACTCTGCTGTTCTGTCCCCAGCGGACAAGGGCAAGCCAGAGCCTCACTCACCAGGGGCCAGCTGGGGTGTAGCCTGGAACATGAGGGCAAATGCAGATAGTAATCAACTGTGTTTGTCACTGTGCAGAGGGGGTGGGTAGAACTGAAGTATGGGACGTATTTCAAGCAGTGCCTTTGCAGCTGCGGAGATGGTTGGAGTTGTGGACGACACTAGCAGTGGAGTGTTACCTCATCCCTTCTCTACAGTGGCTCCTGTAATGGTTAGGGTTCCTTGGGAGCCCTTCCTTCCACTGCTTGTTCCAGGGAGGCTGAGTTGCTGGCATGCCCAAGAGGAGCTGTGATCCCCCTTCTCCTTGGATCCTCCGGGTCCCTGGTTAAACTTCTCCTCGAGAAAACCAGAAGACCAAGTATGACTTACGCCCCAGGTGGCAGGGTAGGATTGCCTTAGCATGTTGAGGGCGGGTTTTTGCAGGGACAGTCTCTGGTTAGACTGTTCTCCTGGGCTCACGAGCCTGAGCTGCTCCTCTGGTGCCTGCACCTCTGGTGCCCCCTCCTCTGATTTGGGCCTGCTCGGGGCCCCACACAAATGTCCCATGCACATGACCCACAGTTTGGTCCTAAAGACCATCAGCTTTTGAGGGTAGATGAGCCCCCAAAGGCTGGGTCCAGTCTGCCAGCCATACTGCCCATCACACCAGCAGGCTAAATCTGGGAGGCAGCCCAGGAAACGGTACCACTGTTGACATTGGGCCTCTCGGCACCTTGGAGAAGTGCTAAAGAAACAAATCACTGAAAGGAAGGTGTTGCTTAGCATAAAACCAGTCTGCAGTGTCTGTCCCTGGGCCACTTCCTGCTGATTTTTTGTTACAAAATAAAAATCAGTGAAAGAACAACAAACCCTATACTTTGTCCTCATTGAGAAAAACAACACAATGCAAAACAGTATACCTGGCAAGTAACTAAGCCTATTTTATCCTGGGTGTAAGATGAAAATGAAATTTACATTGCTTTCACTTTGTGGTCAATGGCTTATATACCGTGCCGTGTGAGTTCCTTGTATTTTTGTGGGTATAATTTAACGGGATGGCAAATTTTCCCTTCTTTAAAATGATTACAGGGGAAGAAGTGAAGTTCTTGTTTGGAGAGTAATATTGGAAAATTATTATCTTGAATTCCTCTCAAATTCTGAGGCCAACATTTGTTTTGTCACCATTTTCCCAGAAAGTAAAAACTGAGCAGTATATGACAAGCATAAGACTGCTTGGCTGAAAAAGAGGCTGTCAGAAGGTTGGCCAAGCCGTCCCTCGGCTTTGTGTTGGAGTGTAGCTGTAATATGACTTTTGCCACAAGGTGGCAGCCATGCCTCAAAACCATTCCCAACCCTGACTGGAAGGGCGGGTATTTTCTCTGGGTTTTAGCTGAAAAAGAGGATGGAGTAAAAAGTCTCCCTCCACTACGGGGCCTTTGGGAGCCATTTGTGCTCAGAGGTGCTGAAGTTGGAGACTCATCCAGATTATCACTCATTCTCCAGGCAGAATCTGAAGTATGTGAGGACACTGGACCAAAAACAAAGGAGAAAATGCATACAGATGGGAAGTGGTCACAGCAAAAGACAGACACACACAAAAAAGTATAGCTTCCCCCTTTGAATGGAGCCTTTGGGAAAGCAGCTTTGGGCCAATGCGGATGCCCCCACGGCACACTGGGATCCCACCGCCCGGCCCTTGGCTGGGCGCCTCGGGCGGGGGAGCCGAAAGCCTTTCCCTTCCCCCAGTCACGGCTGCCAGCTCCCACCCAGAGGATGAACAGACCTTGGGACTGCTTCCACCTGGGACCTAGCACTTGCCCCAGGGTTCACAGCAACACCAGATGTCACCACCGTCCAAGCTAAGCTGCATTTAGCTCCACTTCTGTCATCCTGCCACCAAAGACTCCAAAACAGCACCTCAGCCAGGGTTCCATGGCGAGTGCAGAAAATCTCTGGCTGCCCTGCAGATCTGACTGGCTCACCTTTTAATTTTTTAGGAAACATTCAGACACCTTTAAACTTCAAGATCTTATTTTTATCAATTAATACACGAAGGTAATAAGCTGGAAGCCAAATGAATGGATGAGCCAGAGCGACTGCTCTGGGCAACAGTGTCTGAACTCGGTGGCCGTGTTTCGCAGAAGCAGCGGAGACAGCAGCTGGGGCTGCCGTGCAAAGGCCAAGTGTGATGGGAAAATCTGAACGCGTTACAGACGGTATTGTTCTGTTCTTACTACATTCATTTGTAGGGAGAAGCAGCTTTTTTCAATTGAAGCCTTTTATGGAGATGGCCATCACCAAAAGTGCTGCTTCCTCAAAATATGAGAAGGGAACCATGTTGGGGGAGGTGACATAGCTGCAGCAGGGTCTGGCCCCCAAGCCTCCCTTGACCACATACGGACTGGCTGCAAGCCGGAGTCAAGTCGGCAGAGTCGCTCTCGATTGTTGGGGCCCTCCCACGTCCTCCGGTGTCGAGACCTACTTTATGGCCCTGGTCCTAAGACCCTGCTGCGTGCGGTGTCCTAGGCCATGTGGGTGACTGACTTGTGTGAGGCAAGAGCACCCACAAATCCAGACTTGAGGCTGTCCATCTCCTTCGAGCTTCCCACTGGCCTGCTGGCCTGGGGACAGAGGCTTTCATGCTTCAGCACATTATTTAATGGAAACTTAACGGTTCCACAGAACAAGTCCTACTGGAATTTAATAACACGTTTCCTGGCTTGGGAAGTACTCCGAACACCAGGAGGGTGAGACATGTCTTGAAAATGAAACATATTTACTCCATGCTTTCACATAGAGGGTGTGTGTGGAGTATCCTAACGTCCTGTTTTCCCCAGTAGGAGAAAAACTAGCCATAAAGCAGACCCAATATAAAATTCTCCTACCTACAAGCCTTTTGTTTCCTAGAAAACATTTCGCCCTTTGCACATGCACCATTAGCACCAATAATGGAACTAATAAAACAGCAGCTATTTGTCCCCAAAGAATTTTCCCTTGAGCAGCCTGCTTGGAGGAAAGCAGGGTGTGCACTTGTCCCTGTGGGTACCAGCAAAGAGGGATACGGGCTAAATGCTCACTTCAGCAGAGCCGCTTCAGGGCGAATCTGAAAGCTCCCAAGCCTAGGCCTCTGTCAGTGCTCGTCTCACAAAGCAGCACGCGGAGGAGGCTGCAGAGAGCACGGCCGAGCCTCCCTGCGGTGGCATCCCAGTCCTCCTGGGCAAGCACAGGCTGGCCCAGACCAGAGGAAATGACAGCGGACAGAATGCGTGCATGCTCGTGCTGCGTGACCAGGGGACATGGACCAGATGCTTGCTCCGGTCCCTCCCAGCACAAATTCAAGTGTACAGCCTTTCCACACGTGCATCCACACACGTGTGGTTTTCTCCCTGAGGTGATGGCTTATTAGAGCTGGCGGATCTGTTCCTGGACCATATCCTACTATGTCTTTACATCATTGCAGAATTTATTTTGCTGCCCTAGAAAAAAGCAGCAGGAGAGAACAGCTTTTCAGTGTCTTTAATTAGGCAACAGGAAAAAACAAAGTCTGGCTGAAAATTACCACTTGGAGCTTGGCTGATGCCAGAAAAGCAGTACTGGCTCCCTGTGCCATTAATTTCAAGGACCCACGTGGAGGGGAGGCAAAGGAAGCTGGTTTTCAGCTGCCCTCTGGTCTCTGCAGCCTCACACTGTAATACCGATCTGGAACATCTATCTTTTATCTTAAGCAGATCTTTATTGTTGGGGACTGGTAAAAAAAAAAAAAAAAAATCTGTTGTGAAAACTGGTAGAATCGAATCTGGAAGTCATTGTGGTGAACACAAATCTGGAGCCCCAGGGTGGCATTTTTACAACCACCATCCTGCCTCAACCTGCAGGGCATGGTTTCCTTAGCTGCTGTCAGAAACCCTTGAATATGTGACAGCTGGCGGCGTAACCTGCTTCCAATTAGCAACAGGAATTTTAAGGTATTTTGGAGGTGCTTAGTAGGAATTAAGAAGCCGCCCACTTCATCTGCATCAGTCGCCTTTAAGATCTGCACTATCAAGGCAGGGATGTTTCACTGGCACCGGTTGCTCCTCCCCCAGCATGTCCCCCCAGTCACTGTTATACAGACTCAACGCACCTTTCTAGTGAAACCTCCTGCACACCCACCCTAATAGGGGGAGTTGGGCGTCAAGGATCCAGGTGACATCAGTGGCAAGAAGTTCAGTCAACCCTGTATGGGTCATAGAAGGATCACAGATGACCTAAATTTTCTGTTGCAGTGACTTACAGGGACTCCTCACTGGGCTTTGTTCCTTCCACCCCAGAAGTAGCTGCTACGAGACCACCTTTCCTCCAAGGTGATCATGATACAGGGCAGACAGAAATCCTGACCATCTTCCAATCACAGTGAACCTCATCTTGTCCCCGCTCCCAGCCCAGCCCCCAAGGGAGACACTGGCAGGGTTCCCAGAGAAGCCCCTGGCCCTAAGATAGAGCTGTGTTTGAGGGCCTCCAACTATTGCCCTGTTCCTCACAGGGAGACACCGGTAGGGTTCCTGTGTTTCCCCACCTGGCCTTCTCTGACTTCAGAGCACCTGCCCCCCATAGGGAGGGAATGAGCACACGTGTCCACAAGGACATCTAATCTGAGAGTCCACCACCTGCAACGGCGAGTCAAACCAGGAGAGAGGGCAGCCAGAACTCCAGCAGGGACCTGCCTCTGACGCTCTAATCCAAACAAGCTTCCCGACTTCTGGAGAATGTGACAGATGGCTGCCGTAGGTCTTGGGGTTCTTGATAATTCTGGCACACAGCTAGCTATCAGGCAGCCAGTGAAAACCTACTGGACCTCCTGTGTCCCATCCCCCACTGCCCGCCTCCTAAGAGGGCACAGCACCACAAGCAAGAAGATTTTTGTTACTAAGGTCAGGAAAGGCCAAGTGGTTGATAATGTCCAGAGATGCCTGCTTTATTTACTAGGTGACTGCATTTTGAGGCTGGTGACATCAAGTAACAGTCTAATTACCAACTAATTTTGTACCTCTGACCTACAAATCAACAATCCAATTCGGCAAGGAACAACAGTGTTACAGCTAACGGGGCCGGGTTTTCCAAATAAATGGCCTTGGTTGGCAGAGCGCGGTGAGTGGAGCCGAGGGTGAGGCCTGGGATTGCTCTGAAGACCCCGACACCTGGTTGAGGGAGGCTGACATCTGCAAGTCCCCAGGCGAAGCCCTCCTTTCCAACTCTAAGAACACAGATGTTATTCTCCTTTTTCTGTTCAGTTCAGCCCAAATAAGAAGCCAAGCTACCAGGCAAAGTGGATCTGAGGCCTGCTGTTCATCCCCATGTCCTCTACCCTCACTCCCAGCCCAGGGCACAGCTCTTTCTGCAGGTTCTTAGGAAAAAGCCAGGCTTCTGGTAATTTGTCCCTCTTTTAGTTCTGCTTTGAAAAGGAAAGGGAATGACGGGTATCCAAAGGTGGGCCCAGGTACATCAGCAAGCTCCAGGAGCTGGGCTGAGGCAGAGGTCCGTGCTGGCAAGAGGCGGTGCTCCTCGAAGAACCAAAGCCAAGTGCATCTTCTGGGGAAGATGTCCCAGGGGAAGAATTTATTAACGAAATTCCAAGCTCGTAGGGACTGTTCATATGAGAAGGCAGAAACTTAGAAAAGGTCAAGATCAAGGAAGAGAGAGAGAGATAAGGAAGGAATGAGAAGCTCTTATCCCATGGTAGGAGCTAAGTTAAAGGAAGCAATTACTCTATGAATCATTGCTGTAGCTCTTTCTTTTTTCTCACCGGAAACGAACACAAACTTCCTTTGAGATTCCACACCCCCTGCCCAAGAATCAACTGACAAACTAGAGTTTCTCCTTCAGGCCAACAGAGACTAAGTCACCTAGAAAAGGATTTCTCACCAGAAGCTCTAAGCTGAGGCTTAATGAGGCGGCGGCCCTTTCCCTGCTCCGCCTGTGTCACTGAACTGTGCGAGCCAGGGCGCCGATGCACTGTCCCTTCACGCTCACTCGGCAGAACACCCTGGCAAATGCTTCACCGAGAGCGGGTGACTGAGAGAGTGGTGCAGCCCCAGCTCTGGCCGGGCTATGGCAGCCCCCTGAATCCCAAGCAGAGTCTCCAAACATGGTGGGTTCTTCGGCTGCTGAGAGGACGCGCACCCTAGGGTGCTGGCTGAGGAGTTAATGCGGAAAACAAGGCACCACAGAGAGGTTGGACACTTGGGTTGTGTGATTCAGGACACGCTGGAAAAGTCCACGGGTGGAGGGAAGGAAGGGGAGGAGGAGGAGGAGTAGGAGACTGAGTTTTAAATAATGTCTCATGAGGCCGGAGCCCCACTAGATGGGCTCTGGTTTGAGCTTTTCTGCTAGGAAGTCATTCACAAAGGCCTCCACAATGGCAGGGGTGATCTCCTCCACATCCATCACGTACTTGGCCCGGGCTGACATGTCCAGTATGGTGAGCAAAGGGGCAGCCTCGGGCAGGTTGGTGTAATCTCGCAGGGAGTCAGTCATGTCGTCCTGGAAGTCACCAGAAGGGAGAGAGAATCCATAAGGTTTCAAGGAAGAGCAGACAGCCCCCCGGACCCAGGTTCCCAGATGGCATGGAAGGGAGCCACTCCCTCACTGCCCTGAGGGGCGGGCCCCCTCTGGGAGGGGTGGGCTCTCCGAACAGGGAGCAGCGGGCCCTGCCCTGCCTCGTGGAGGGGCAGGCTGCTTTGTAAAATTCTCTCTCCGCATCACCCCAAACCCCCAGGCAAGTCTTCGTTCTTTATGAGCATGAAAGTCGTCCTCCTCTGCTTTGCAAAAATGTGATGCCCTTTGATTACTCACTTTTGCAATCAACTTTTGGATCTTTTGAGTCCCCACTGTGGATTACCTGAGGCCAGTCTGGACGTTAGCTCGGAATGTGTTTAAGTGGAGCTGCCCTGTGGCTTCAGCAGGCAGGCATCGCAGAACCAGTGGAGAAGACAGGGCTATAAAAATACTACTGGGCTTTACAAGGGTCGCTGGATTTGTTTGAGCAGGAAGCTAGCCCTTTATCACATATTCCCAGTGACTGTCCAAGGGAATTTCTCTAATATCAGATGTAGCTTTATGAAGTATAGAGGCAAACAAATCCAAAGACAAGGAGGAAGGTTTGTAAGGGGCCAATCATTTGGGATTACCTTTTATGCTATTGACCCCCACTTGGTAGGTAACAGAAAATGGACCCTTTACACCATCCCGGGGTTGTCTCACTATAAAATGCACAATATTCTAAACGGAATGAGAAGACCTGCGTCACCCTGCTGAGAAAGGGCATGGGGCATTCCTGGCCTTAAATGTTGGTGAGCAAGGGCCATGAAATTGACAGCTCACCGGTTTCTGAGACAAAAAAACATTCCTTCCTCAAAGGGCAAATCTTTAGGGAGATTAGTGGTGGTCGTCTTGTTTTCCCCACCCCGGAAACAACATGCACTTTCTAGCACTGCCCGGTGATTCGACACCTCTGGTACTGTTTACCCAACTCCAGCCCCCTGTGGGTAAACAGAGGGGAGACACCAGGACAAACGCTGTACATCCAATGCCCTCCACCCTCCTCCCCTCTCCCTCTCCCTCTGAGCAAACCACAGGGAGATGAATTTTAAGGTCTCTTAAGGCTTCAGAAGGGACGACCTCTGCCTGCCAGAGTGCTCAGGATCAAGGCAAACCAGGGTCCCCGTAGCCCCAGGTGGAATGAGGGGCCAGGGTCTGTGGCTCAGAGGTGTTCAGTCCCTGCCTGGTACTCCAGCCCTCTGTGTCCACGCTCGTTCCATGCCGCCGTGCTTCTCAGCAGGAGGGCAGAGAACTGGACCGAGAGTTGCCAAGGCCAGGAGCCCAGGCAAAGTGCACAGGAGGGGCGGGGCGGCCAGGCAGGGAAGGGAGCACGGGATGACCAAGCTCCTCTGCCCAGTCCTGGTCCCGAGCCCCTTCCCTAGTGGGCCCGTCCACCTGCCAACCACAAGGGCAAAGGGAGCAGGGCACTGCTTCTGAAGTCACACCGACCTCACGCTCAGTCCCCTCTCCGCTGCCTACTTCGTGTGTGACTCTGACAAGTCCCTCCTCTGAGCCCAGGTCTGCCCTGAAAAACGGACTTAACACCAGCTCACAGGAGGCGTGGGAGGCAGCCAGACTCGGCCCAGCCGACCCGGCTGGGGCAGCCTCCCCTCCCGGGGCCTCGCTCTCCTCACCTGTGAAACAGTATCGCTCACATCCCAGCCGGAGAGCTGGGGACAAGTGGGACAGGGCAGGGAAGCACTTGGCTTGGGGCCTGGTGTGTAGAAAACCCCCAGATGCTCCTCTTTGGCTGCATTTCTACAGCAGCTCCTGGAGCCGCCCACCCCCACCACAGCTTAGTCCTTCCTGTCCTGCACCCACCTTTTCTCTCAGAGCCATGAGAAAGGGATTAATTAGAGTTTAACAAACGCAGGGCGGCCTCCGTGTGCGTTCCATGTGGAGTGGGCTGGTATGACCCCAGGGCAGGGCCTGCGAACCCGCTTTGTTCCCTCCACCCTGCGGCCGAGCCGGGCAACTTCAGTTGCCTGCAAGGGGCCTGGCCGGGCTTGGCAGGGGAAGTAACTGAGCCGGTGACGAATGGGTGCTGGTTCAGGGTGTCTGGCTGCCGCTGCACGGCCTCTCCCGGGATCCAGACACAGCGTGAAACGAGCAGGGGGCCATGGCCGACTGGAGGAACGGGGCGGTGGGAGGAGGGCAGGGGCGTCACAACGTGTCTGTCAATAACCAGGTTCCGGCAGGAGCCTGGCTGGGCAGGGCAGGCAGGGGAGCACGCGTGGAGGATGGCTCCCGGGGTGGGAACCGAGGTAGTGCGCCAGCCCCGGCCTGGCCTTCTTAGAGATGTTCCCACGCCTGCAGGATGGAGGCTCCTCCACCTGGGGAAGCAGGCACCGGCTGCAGGTGGCCCAACGGAAGGGCTGGCCTTGTCACCCTGTGCAAAGCCCTGGGCTCCTCCAGCCCAGCTTCAGGGGTCAGGCTTTGAGTGAAAGAGACAGGGGTGCCGGCAGCTGCAACCGTAGCGCCCTCCTGGGCTGGCTGGGTAACCGGAGGTCAGAGCTGTGGCCCCAGTGAGGTCCCTGTGCCGGGAAAAGCCTGCTTGGCAGGTCGGTGAGCAGGGAACTAACCCAGCAGATTCTGTAAAGCATCGAGGGCCTGGTTTGAACCCAGCCCCAAGGCAGTGGGTGCTGACCACAGTCTCGGTGGCTGCGCACCGCCCCAGCATCCTGGGCGACGCGCAGGAGGGAGGAAGTAGCAAAGGCAGGAAATGGTTTTCCATGACTGATGATGACACACCTTTTCACGCCGCATTTATCTGCGGGCTCTCCCAGAAAGAAGCCTGTCGCCCGTGACCCCAGGGTGCCCTTAAACATCCCCCAAAGCCCATTGCTCATGTTCTAAACGTTGGCTCCTATGCTGGCCCCAGCTGCACTCTCACCTCTCCTGCCACGAAGAACAGAAGCGGCGCCTCCTCCTCTTTGGCTTTGTACTTGGCAATGATCTTCTCAGCTATTGGCTGGATCAGCTGCTTGGCTGCCTCAGACTCCCCATCATCCTCGGAATCTGTGATGGGGAGAGAGAGACAGGAAGCACAGCAGCCTGTCAGCGAGTGGTGCCTCCTGAGGGCGCCTGCGTCCAGGGCCTGGACCACCCCTCTGGGTGGCCCCTGGATGGAAGAAGAGCATCCCTGGGCACCCAGGCCTCGCCTCCCAGTGCCGGAGGGCGGATCTCGGGTGCTCCCTGATCTGCACAGTGCGTTCCTCACCACGCTCCCCAGGATCAGCCCACGTCATTGAGTAGCACTGATGCCCTAAGCAAACGACATCCTTTTCACTGAATTCTTCACAAACCCACCTGGGAAGCTAAGCTTCCCCTAAGCCAGGGCCTCGGGTCCCGGGTAGATTTTCTCAGTCACAGGATGAGATGCCATGACCTCAGATCACTGATCTAATGAAGACGGCAGAGGTGGTGGCCATGGGGAGGCACAGCTGACAGTCAGACTCAGCTGGGAGGGGACAGGCTGCTGCCGGCAGAGCCCCCAGCCAGGCTCCCCAGGGCCCCCTGTGGGGCATCTCCTGCCTCCAGGAGCAGCCATACACTGGGGTCCCAGGGCTCACTCCTGCTGAACCCTATGACTGAGAACAAGAGTGACACCCCCACTGCAGAGCTGGGGGTGGGAAGGGGGAGCAGGTGCCGGCAGACGACTTTCACCCAGAAATGCCACACATGCCCGCAGGGGGCAGGTTCTGTGGGACGCCCTCTAGATCCATAGCTACTTAGGTCTGTGATGCTGGGCACCTGCTTTGCTTCTTTGGGACCCTGTTTCCACATCTGCAGCAGCCACTGTGGTTCCCAACTGTCCCTCCTTCAGAGTTGTTACCCAGCCCCAGGACAAAGGCCTGGGAGCCTGCAACAGGCAGGAAGGCCCCAAGGCCACCTTTCCCCTGGTGGCCACTGTCCTCTAAGCACAAGGCCAGCCTGCAAGTCAGTTTGCTTAAGAATTCCCCCAAGTCTGCATATTGTCCCCCCTTCCCAGAGGGTCTCCAAATCAGACCTCCAGAGAATAGGGGTAGGATGTTGCACATATTCCCAAACCTGCCTCACTGAAGTGGGAACGGCAGCATCTTGGCCATGATCTAATACCCGAAATTACGTTCAGTTGGAGCTGAGCAACAAGTCCCAGGGCAGAGGGTGAGGTGGATCTTGTACAGAAGTTCTGTTTGCAGAAGGAATTGGTCATCCCTCGGGGCTGCAGGGAGCCAAGCATAAATGTCTCTGTTCTCTCCTGCCTCTGCCAGCAGTCACCCACTGAGTGCCAGGGCAAGCCAGAGGGGGACACCAAGAGAGACAGTTGGCCACAGAGATGCCACCTGAGGCTGGGCCAGCTCCCACACCCTGGGGCCAGTTGGTCAGAACACAGGTGACCAGGGAAGCTGCCCCGGCTGAGCCAGAGCGGAGGGGGCCCAGCCACTGCAGCTGCTGCGGTGCAGCCCTGCCTCCTTCCAACAATGGGTCTGTTCATCAGGGGGCCCCCGGGCATCCCAGCCCCCTGACCTATTCTTCCCAGCTGGCAGTTGGGAGCAGCTAGGAAGGGAAGCACAGCAGCAGCTCCCAGAACACCTCCCGCAGGGGGAGAGCCATGAATAAATCATTGGGGTCAAAAGCAAGGCTGCTGGGAGGGACAAAGGCCCAGGCTCTGCATTGTTCCATGACAGAAAGAAGCTGTAGGGACAGACATGCCCCCCATGAGTTCCGTCCTGTCCCGCCCACCGTGACCCCACCCCCACCCCACTGAGCTTCATACCTACAAAAAGGACGAGGCAGGGGCCCTCGTTGAGCTGCACGGCGTTGGAGTCGGACAGCTCCAGCACGGGCTTGGGGTGCCACGGGAACTCCCTGCAGTCCTCGTCGTTCAGCACCTCCACCCGCCCCTGCCGCGTGATCACCTCCCCCTGCGGGTCCAGCACGATGAGGGTGGGGATGCCTGCAAGAGAAAGTGCTCTCTTGGCCACAGGCCCCAGAGCTCATTCCTGGAGTGCACGGGGCCCAGGAGGAGCCTCAGGCTCAGGACTGACAGTAGGAGAGCCTCCGGATAGAGCCTGGGCTCAGCCGCTGAGCGTCCTCAGAAGCTGCTGCTGGGCCTGCATGCACCTTCCCCAGGGAACACGAGCAAGTCCCTCCACCTCTCTGGGCTACACGGTGGAAGTCCTGCGCTTCCCACCTTATCCCACTATGTAAAGATCAACGAGCTGTGTATTTAAAGAACTTCGCACAGGGTCTTGGCACATGGAACCAGTAGATAAAGGCTAAACTGATCCCAAAGAACCAGGAAAAGCTTCCCCCACCTGCCAGGAGTCTAAACCTAACTGATGGCATAAAAAAAACAGCTCCCAGGCGGCGTACGGACACACAAGCCAGCAGGAATCCAGCACGTCGTGGGAGTTCACCCAAAGGGAGTCCACGCAAAGGCGGAGGCCGGCGTCAGGAGGAGCCTGGGGCCAGGGCGGCAGCAGAACAGGAGGACAGCTGGCTGCCAGTGAGCCAGCGGCCCCCACCCCCAACTCCAGCCCTGCTGCTGGAGAAGGTCCCAATACCTGCTCTGAGGGGACAGTCCCTGGAGGGAGCACGCCGATGGCAATGCGACCGCCCTCCCATTGGAGCCTTGGGCTGGGGTGAGAAATGCGACACAAAGCTCCCCTCAATCCCCACACCCCTCAACCATAAAGCCCCAAATGAAAAATCAGAGACCTCATCCTCGGTGACAGCTGCATTTGGGTTTCCCACCTCCCTGCCCTTTGCGCCCAGTGCTTCTCCTGCAGCCGGGGCCACCCTCCGCCAGCCGCAGCCACAGTGTCAGCCTCAGCCCAGCCCTTTGGGGAGACTTGTCTCTCCACTGGCAACCGGTCTCTCCCAACCGCACCCTAACCAGCCGCCGGTCCTCCGCAGCTGACCAGAGCTTTAATTGCATATGGGCAAATGAAAGCCAGAGCAATTTAATATTTATAGATTCCAATGCATTCAGTTGGTAATTTGCTCCACTGACATTTACTTCTCCGTTGGGGGCACGCTAAGGTACCAGAAACATGGCCCTGGTGATTTTTAACCGGCCACGGCGGTCGGCGCAGCAGGCGTGTGGTGGCGGGCCTGTCTTCAAAAGGAATAAACGAATCCATTATGTTCGCACTCATTAGAAGAAGCGGCTTGGCGTGTTAAGGCGCAGGCCCAGAGAGAAGTGGGCTCTGGAGGCCGGCCATTCCCTCAGCAGCACACGGCAGCACGCTCTCGCGGGGCTTCAAGACGCGCTCAGAGCTGTCCAGGCCTCTGAGAGGTTAGCTGTGTGTTGGAGCACAAGAGACTTGGGCACTTCCAGCCTCGTCCTCGCAGCTGCACAGCACCCCCTGGGGGCCTGGGTTTGTCCCCATCCCTGAGGGCTGGGCTGGGCTCTGAGTCAGCAGCCTTGCCCAAGGCTGCAAGGGGAGCCTCCCATCACCATGCCCTATCTCAAAAATGCTTTGGCAAAGTTCTTTAATCAGAGAATCAGTGTCTTTCTAAAATTGGGCAATTACAAGTGTTGGGTTAAACCGGGCCCGCCCACCGCTATGATTAGACCCAGCAGCCGGCCTGCGTGAAGCCCAGATGTAGGGCACCGAGTTGGTCTGTGGGGGGGCAAGCAGGAACGAGGGGCAAATAAGGGAGGAAAAATGAAGTCTGACAGCAAAGAGGTCCACTTGCTGGTTCAGTGCCTCAGTTTCTCCAAGGGATTGCTCTAAAGGGCCTTCCTTGTGGCCCCGGCTGCATCCTCTCCCAAGTCCACGCCTATGGGGACCAGGATGGCCAGGCAAGGGCCCAGAGCCCCCAGCTGGCTGCAGAGGAGTCCTCAGCTGATTCCAAGAAGGAACAGCTCCACCAGGCCTGCGTTCTCCCCAGCACATCCCCACGACCCTGGGAAAGCGGCCCCTGCTTGCATTTGGTGCTTTGAGCACCGAAGCCCAAGTCTGAAGGCCCAAGAGAACAAGGTGCATGTGACTGCGAACACAATCAGACTTCAACCCAGAGAAGCCCGTTTCTGGCACGTGGACGGGGAAATAAATCTAAATGCACCATGCCAGGCCCCCGCCCCGTCTCCAGGTCTCAGTTAGCTGGGCCCGGGAGCCCTGCGTGCGTGCTCTCCTCCAGGGTGAGCGGGAGGCAGGAGAGGGAAGCTGGCATTGCTGGTGCGTCTGCTCTGTGTGAGGCTCGACAGACACCAACCCCCATCGGCCCTTAGTCCTCACAGCAGATGGTCTCAGGAAGTACGGCTGGGTATCCACCCAAGGTCAGCCAGCCGGTGAGTGGCCCAGCTGGGACAGGAACCCTACCCTTCCTGTGGGAAAAGCAGCTGCTCTTTCTACTGGGCTCTCACAGCACCTGGGCCAGGACTCTGGTGACCAGGACACAGGAAAGCCCCTGTACCCGCTGGTTTCTGCTCCACCCACCTCCCTCTTCTCTTCCTGGCCAAGGCTGTGGGGAAGAGGGCTGAGCTTACAAATGCCTCTTCCTTTTCCTCCCCCAACATGGGTTCCCTGCTCGGCCTCCCTTCAAGCAGAGACTTCTAAGGAGAAAATAGGGCAAAGCCTCTAAGGGGAGATTTAAAGGGAATGGAACATTTCTAATCGATGCCTTTATACAAAGTAACTTCCGCACCAGCAAGGGGCTTCTCTGGAGGGAATGAAAAGGAGCAGCTTCTCTCTGCTTTGCTTAAACCGCTCGTTTCTCAGTGCGGATGGCTGGGTGGAAAGTCCAGCTAGAATTCTAAGGCCGATCGGGGCAAGTCGCTTAGCTTCTCGGGGCCTCGTTTGCCCGGCCGTCAAACGGGTAGTGAGAGCTCCCTATCTTATTTGGTTGTTTTGATGAATAGATAAAATGACAAGTATAAAATGCTTTTTAGCAGAATATCTGGTATAGAGTAAGTCTGCTATAAATATTAGGTTTTGTTATTACTAAGTTCATCACTATTTTTAAAAAAGATTTTACTTATTTACTTTTAGAGAGAGGGGAAGGGAGGGAGAAAGGGAGAGAAACATCAATCGGTTGCCTCTTTCACACCCTCAGCTGGGGACTCAGCCTACAACCCAGGCATGTGCCCTGACTGGGAATCGAACTGGTGGCGTTTTGGTTCATAGGCCAGTGGTCAATCCACTGAGCCACACCGGCTGGGGCCATCACTATTTTTTTAATCATCCCTAAGTTGAGTATTTGGCTCAGGAGAAGGCAGAGGCACAGAACACTGGTGCCTCCTCTAGTAGGATTAACAGAAACCTCCACGCCTGCTGGATGGAGTCAGCTAAAGAAACGGAAGACAGGGACAATGTGAGCCCTGCAGCAAGGGGCCCACGGGCAGTGTGACTCTACCTGGGGTTGGCGTCTTCTACCTGCACCATCCTAAGCTTAACTTCTGGACTTAGAGCATACATTCTACACTCCTAGGGAGCTTCCGCCCCAGCCCCCTGCTCTGGGGGGCTGTGCTGGACCACAAGCAGTACCTGAGAATCCCCTTGACCTCCTCCCTCCAAACCTAGAAGAGAAAGAACAAGGCCCAAGAAGCCCCTCCAAACTGGTTTCTCCTGGGAGGAGCCTCCTGGTATTTAAAACAATCTCAAAGCCACGTGTACTGAGACCAGCCCATAGTTTAGTCTGGTGGTTTCTCTATGCCAAGGAGCGAGGGAGCTTTAAAGGAGGCGGCGGTGACGGGGCCACGGGGGCAGAGAAGTTGGGCAGGTTGCAGCCAGAAAGCTTTCCCTCTCTGTTTCTCGACAGCAACACCATCTGAGGGCGCGGGGGGGCGAGCCCAGGGCAGAGTGAAGGACTGTGCAACCACGGAAACGGCCATCCTGAGGACTGAGGCAAGACGAAAAATGTCTGTAATGTATTCTTACATAGAAAATTCAGAATACACAATGCTACGCGTACAGCTACTATTATGGGTAAGTGTGCGTGTGGACAGAGACCAAAAGGGACTCCGAAAATGAAAACAGTTGTGCTAGTGAGGCAGGAATGCGGGTGCGACAGACATGTTTGAGTTTTCTTACAGGGTGTTATGAGAAATGCATTAACATAAAACCAAACAAGAACCACAGGGCAGTAGGCGTGGGGTGGGGATGGCAATACGAACTGTGCCTTGGCTTCATCGGCTGCGGATTCTATCCCTCCCGGCTCCCCTAAAACTCCCCTTTGCTTAGAGAGCCGGTTTGTACAGTGAAGCTCCAAGAAACCCAAGGGGGCCTAAGGGGGGCGGGGCGGGAGGTGCTGGGCCTACTTGAACGCAGCCAGAAGGCCTGAAGCTGCTTGGGCACCTCCTTGTATCAGGAGGTGGACAGGAAGATGTCCATGGCGCTGTTCTTGAAATACAAAAACACCAAGAACAACCAAGTATCCACTCACAGTGGTGCAGATAAATAAACCATGATAGAGTCATACAATGAAACACGCCTCGGCACTGAAAAGAAATGAACCAGATATAAATATCGACAAGGCTAAATCCTGAAAGCATAATGTTAAACAAGAACAAGTTGCAGAATATTACACCACGCCAGCGTTTCAGGATGCTTCTAAAATACAGCCCCGCACGGCTCTGTATTATTCATGGACTCATGTATATGCAATAAATAGGAAAACAGATTATGAAGATACACATCACAGATAGTGAAGAGTTTCCTGGGCAGGAGGAAGGAGAAAGGCAGTGCCCGGGAGTGAGGGAGCCCCGCCTGTCTGGATTAATGCTCCAATGCGCTAGCATTTTAAAGACCTCAGCGGGTGTTTGTTACATCTTCCTCCCTCCCTTTCCCTCCCTTCCTCTTTTCTCCTCTCCCCTCCCCTTCCCTTATAATAAAACAGGACAAACAAAACAGAACAGAGTAGCTGCTCGGTAGGTCCAGAGCAGCCCCCAGACCCCACCCACAGGGCCAGCCCCGCCCAGGTCCATGGCAAACTCCAGATAACCTGCAC